AGTGTTCATTATTTTGGCAGGTTGGTTCTGAATGTGGGTGTGGTGGGCAGTGTTAAGAAACTGTCCCTTATGTTTGCACTCCTCTCTTCCATGGTTGCATTCCCATTACTCTGCTTTTGCCTGACTGTGGTTCTTTGTCTGCCTACAGTAATTCCATTGTATGGCCCCATGATTTGACAAAACAGGGTTATTCTCATAAATCCTCTCAGTCCCAAAAAGGTGCACTTGTGTGACCAAGGGGCAGCTATTAACTGTAGGAACATGGGAATTGCTAGAACCCAGAAAAGCACCAGTCCATCAGATCTAATCCTTGCTTTGACTGTGGCCACTATCCATATCTTCTATTCCTTTCTTTTTAAAAAAGAAAATAAACAGAAGAGCAACCTGTGGCTTTTTTTTCAGCTGAGACTTATCAAAGTTTTGAGAGCAAAATAGAGTCAATTTTCTTGCTTCCTAATATTTTTTTTGTGCTGTTGAAAAGGTACTGGATTTACACTGCAAGGTTCCTGTGAGCCTAGAGCTGAATGCATTTTTAGTATCGCAATTGTTATAACTCTATATGACACAGAAGGAAAAGCTCAACTTACTGATCATCAGTTTATACCCTGAAGCATGAAAGCAGGTAGAATTTCTTGATAACAATGAAATACTTATATGTGATTTGTTGTCCAGTCACGCTTTTGCAAACATAAACAAATCAGAATTCTCTGAAAGTATCTAGTCTAGTGTTGAAAATCTGAGAGTCTACAGCTTCTTGATTTGAAATTCTTGCAAATAAAAGGAACAGTAGATAAAGATGTAAAGACTGTTTATTGGACAGAGCCTCAAGCAGTTTTGCCTTTGGTCTTAATTAGTATCTGTAACTTTTGTGTAATTTCCTTCTTGGTAGTTTAATATAACCTTTGACTGATAAACATCTCTTGCTACCTCTAGAAGATACTTCTTTTTTTACAGCTCCGATTGTTGCATATATTTTAAATGTAATTTTTAAAGTCATGTTTTGGAAATCATTATCTTCATGATCAACATAATGCTGTAAATGTAGAAAGGTGAAATAAGGGGAAATTGTTATTTTTATGTATTAAATACTCTATGCAGGTGTAAATATGTTTTTTTCCAGCCAATAAATTACATAAACTTTTATATATTTTTAAGGCCATCTCTGCAGTTAAATGGAAATAAATGAGTTAAATCAGACTTTTCAGGATATATAAATAGCTGAACCAGGCTGGTTATCTTCCAGTGATCAGTCCCTGAGCAATCAGAGGATATTGATGGGAATAGCTATGCCCTCTTCATCCTCCTGGATAATCCTCCAGGGGGAAGCAAGTAAACAACTAGGAGCAAACAACTCCAAGCTTTGATACTCAGTGAAAAATTCCAGCCCAAGGTTGTGTTTTAGAACCTGTCTAGGTTTGAATTTTTAATTTCTGTAGTAAAGAAGTTAGTTACGAAATCTTACTCATTTGCAGTGTAAATATTCTGTCATTGTGATTTCCACTCATAGAAGAGGAATACAAGCTGTTTAAGCAGCAAATTATCCTTGTGCTGCAAGTCCGGAACAGTTCTATAGATACACATGTATACCTGTAAATAGTCTGCTCTACTGATTATATCCACTGTGTCCACTACAGCAGAATAGAAACAGCAGCGATGCCCTGGCCACCTGCCAGGCCATGCCCACAGCCGTGGCTGTTATCAGAACGTTCCCAGGCCCAATTCAGTAAGGTGATAAGCAGTACAGCACTACAGCAGGCAGAGAAAGCAAAAAGCGGCCACCAACAAGCAGTAGGCTCTAATACACAGTCAGGAAAGCAAACCTCATAGCAAACACAGGAGCCTGCTGATTACTAGGTAAACATCACTAACAGCAATAAATTCAATCTAGTGCATTCCAGTCAAACCCACTGTTACCTCAAACCCCTCAAGCCCAGTGTTGAGCACCAAAAAGGACTGTGGTGGTTTAACCCCAGCCAGCAACCAAGCCCCGCTCCCGCTCACTCACTCCCCCACCAGTGGATCAGGGAGAGCATTGGAAGGGTAAAAGCTGGAAAACTCGTGGTTGAGATAAAGACAGTCAAATAGGAAAAGCAAAAGCCACTCATGCAAGCAAAGCAAAACAAGGAATTAATTCACCACTTCCCACGGACAGGCAGGTGTTCAGCCATCTCCAGGAGAGCAAGGCCCCGTCACACATAACAGTGACTTGAGAAGACAAACACCATCACTCGAAACATCCCTCCTTTTCTCCTTCTTCCCCCCAGTTTATATACTGAGCATGATGTCATACGATCTGGAATATCCCTTTGGTCAGTTTGAGTCACCTGTCCCAGCTGTGTCTCCTCCCAGCTTCCCAGGCACCCTCAACTTCCTTGCCAGCGTGGCAGTACGAAAAGCAGGAAAGGCCTTGGCTCTGTGTAAGCCCTACTCAGCAATAACAAAAACATCTCTATTAATGTAATCAACGCTGTGTTCAGCACAGATCCAAAACATAGGCCCGTACTAGTAACTATGAAGAAAATTAACTCTACTGCAGCCAAAACCAGCACAATCTGCCTTACTGATATCAATCTAGTTGGTTTGAGGGTATTTTGTAGATTTTTCGCTACTAAAAAATTCAACTCTTTGAGTTTTCCCTTTCAACTGGTAGGTTGTCTTTGTGTTTAAACTGATTTTTAGGAAAGCGCATATTTCTTCATCTTAATACTATTCTCTGTCTTTCATCTCCCAAAATGTAACTATTTTTATGGGTTATGGATGGGAATTGGAGAATGGAAACCTCAGACCTTTTTTAGAACCATTCTGAATAGTTGTAGAGAGCAGCTGAATAGCTGTAATCTTCTGAAAAGATTAAAAATTCATAAGGGAATAATAACATCTCAATTTTTACTTAATTAACAAATTCCCAAATCTTAAAAATGTCATCTTATCCTAATTAACTTGTTCTTTTATAAAGGAACACTTGCTGTAAACCCTGAGGTGAGAAAGCCACCAGATGTTTGATGGCTTTTTTTTTCCTTATTTTCTGAAGGCAAACTCTGAGCAGGTATTGAAAAAATATCTTCTTGAAGATGAAAATGATATTTAAAAATTTTACTTCTAGCCACTTATCTCACTATGGTCAAATTTTACCATAGAGCATAGCACAACCCCCAGAGAATTGAAGTCTGTCACTCAGCTCTGGGATGTGGTTGTAGAGAAGGAATGAGCATAACTGAAATGATGATGAGAGAAACAGGAGTCTAACCCAATGAACTAGAGATCTCAGAGGTCATTAAATCTGTCTGCTTCTCATCCCATGGTTTTTTACAGTGATTGTAGCATTCCTGGTACACACCATCTATAAAAATGATCACTTGAGAGATAGGCTTGCCTTGAGCAGAGCGTAGATGAAGTATAAATCAATTCAAATGTAATAGAGGAAAAGTGAAATTAATATAGCTGTGCTCGGGCATTTGTTACTGTCAGGAAAGCTGCATGCATTATGTCACACAAGGGTAATCTGGTTTGTGTCGGTTTGTGTATTTATTGAGGAAATCTTTGACCATTGCAGTATGATATAGTGGAGATTTTGATTCCCATACTCCGACTGAATAATATCCAAATCAGTCATTTAAGCAAAATCTTTCATTTTGAAATAGCAGCAACAATAACAAAACTTTTTTGCTCGTGGCCTCTCTTCAATATTTGTGTGGAGGATATCCTAGGAAAAGTGAACTCCAGGGTTGTGTGTACCTCATTTTTGGAGTAGTTCCAGGTTAGCTTTGAAATTTTCAAGCTGAGCTTCGAGGTTCTCCAAACCAGTTTGGTCATTGGATCAGCTGCTACCTTGCTGCAGCTATCCTGGGCTACCACGAGTGTGAGGCACTTACCACTATTTGAGGTCTTTGAGCTGAATGCAGGTAAGCAACTACCAACATCAGCTGATGTGCACAGGTTTATAAGTGATGGCTGGATATTGTTTTGAAAGAGATACTAAGTGTTCAAATCAATTAGGGAGTTATAAAATATCTTGTGTGTGGTGCAGCAGCAGCTACATAAATTTTATTGACCTATGCCATTCACATTAGAGGAGGTGATAATTTTTCTTTCCAAGTTCAGGAACTGTTAACAACCTTAGCTGTCATAGGCTGGGCTGAGATTGGGCAGTTAATCCCGAATAAAGGTGACTGTATAAAGTTACTCCTTGATATCCAGTGACTGTTAGTAGGAGATAAATAATAAACCTACTGCAACAAGTAAATGATACTAAAAGTGTAATAAAATGCATCTGAATTGTAGAAGCCACCCAAAATTAAAGGAAAAATAAAAAATACTCACACCTTATATAAAGCAAACAAGGGGATATGTGATATAGAAAGGAACTAAGATATGTGCACCCAACAAGAGTCATACTTTAGAAGAATCTTTGTGAAACTGAACAAGAAAAATCCTTAAAAATATGGGGAGCTACACTGAAAAAAACATTCCCTCTGGCTCTGGTGGGAGGTAACTGGTAATAGAACACAGCTGAATCTTTGGATGGTACCTTAATGATGAACTAAAAATCTGAATGTTCTGTTTTTTCTGGTATAGCGTGATTATACCAGAAGCATGTTATGTTTTATAGGAAAAAAAAATAGGGATTTAAAAGGATATATATAGTGTTATCTCCTGACTGTCTAGGTAAGTTGAAAAAGTTCTGGCAGTTGCAGAGAAAGTAATGTTGTACTTCTAATAATTTTGGTGCTAATTGGAATTGTGTGTATATGTTAAAATTATGATGAATGAGTGGTAATGAGTAAACATGATGTTCTGAACATGCAGCTTGCTTGAAATGCCATGGTTTCATGGAAACACGGAGCAGTCCTGCCAGGGACATGCCTAATATAACTGTGTAGATAGTGTTACATTAATAATGGGCACTTGTTCTCTTTATTTTTAACCTATTTCTTATATTTTTGATTCATATACTTTTCAAATTAGATGTAATAATGTCTATTTTGCTTTTTCTGTTCCAGCGAATTCGAGATCTAGAAGATAAAATAGAGCTTCAAAAGAGGCAACTCAAAGAAATTGAGGAAAAGGTAAATAAACGTCTGGGCAGCACCAATGGATTTCTTCTCTACAAATTTATTTTTCTCTGTTACATTGATGTTAGTACTCCTAGTATCATGAAATCTCTTTTTAAAGCAAGATAAAATTGGAGTTCAAGCCATTGCTGCCTGAAATGATGCTCTTTCTCTAATCTGCTCAAAACCATTTCCTATCCAGATTTTCTATCAATTACAGGAAGGCATCAAGGGGTCTGGAGAGACACTAGAGTATTAGGGGGAGGATTTGCTGATGTTTAGATCAAGAAAGAACACAAAGATTTGTCTCTAACAGATTTGGTTAGCTCAGCCCTGTTCTTTGGGTATCATTGCTCTGCCAAACTTTCGAGTACTGAAAATTCAAACAAAATTGATAAGATGCCTATGACATAATCTACAGTCAAGAATATTTCTTACTTTGAGATAGAAACAAATTAATATCCTGGGTCCAAATTTTCTTGTCTTCTGCAAAAGCTCTGATCAAAGCTCGAGACAGCAAATGTATTTGTGTCACTGTTGTTCTCAAGCAAGGGATGACCCAAGGTTCATGAACTATGAGCTCAGGAGTTTCCAGGTCTGTAGAGTTTAGGCTGCTCTGCAGGGCATATGATGACAATGGGTCTTTCTCTAGGCCCCAGGAAAGTGTTTTAGCTTGTTACTTTTGCTGAATCAGTGCCTAGATCCCAACATGAGTTACATCATCTCAGGTTAATTTTCTCCAGCATTTATGGATACCTAATTCTGCATAAACACACTGGTAGGCTGAATGAAGAAGTTAGTGGAGTTTTCAATAATTTTTTTTTGGGGGATGAGAATGGGGTAAAAAATGAGAGTTGAAAGAGGTCAGTGGGTCTTGCAGAACTGAGAGAGTCTTTGGGGATCAGCTCACTGGATGTTGAAAGGTTTCTTCCTCACCCTTCAGTCCCAATGTCCCATCATCTGTCCTCCAAGTGTCACCCTCTGGGGTTATTGCACTTCTAGCAACTACTCCAATTCCCTCAACACCTTCCTTGGTCCATTATGCTCCCACATTAGTTGACTCCCCTCTGCTGTACCTCGTCCTGCACTTTTCAAACCGTGATATCCAGCTGGGTTTGTGGAAGAACCAGGAGAAAAGCCATGAGAAACTGTGCTGGGTGCTGCCGTTTTCACTAGCAGAGAAGCACAGGAATCATCCACTGCTAGAAGGGCTCTTTTGCTGCCTTTGCCCTTTTCTGCCCCAAACCACTTCTATAGCTGGAGCTGTTCCTGCCTAGCAGCCAATGATGTCTCATATCAAAGCAGAGAAATGCTGAGGGATAGATGACACTTCCACATGTTAATTACTTCAAATATTAGTGTTTATCCACCTACTTTAAAACATCAACATCTCTAGATGTTGCTATTGCCCAAATATAAGCCTTTAAGGCATTGCCATTACAGTTTGCAATTTAGGTATTGGATTAGACAGACTGATAATTTTGAAAATGGAAGATAGCATTATCTCTACTGGTTCACCAGCTGGATGGATGGAAAAAACATTAGAAAAGAAACAGCTTAATCACAAGCTTAGCAGAAAGCTGGTAATGAGTTAAAATGATTAACGTCCTCTTTGCCTTAATGTTGCATTAGCAAGAGACTTGAGAAAAGCTTCATCTTTTTCTATTAACCTTGAACTTCTGAATGGGTGGAGCACTTCTTTTTATCTGTATTACATTTGAATTATTTTTTCCTTGGGATTAAATCCCATTCTGAATTTGATTGACCAAAGGAAAATTATGTTGCCAGGGAATCAGTGAATTATATACTTTTACTTTATTGCTCCTCTTAAGGTTTAATGTGTCAAAGGGCACAGACTGACACCTACATGCTACTGATACTGAGCACAATAATTTCATGTGGAGACAAGTCTTAGTCTTTTCAAGAAATAGCAGTATTTATAGCTGAGCCTCATCACTAAGGGCAATGCACCATTTATGGTGTCATGAGTATGACTTTTTATTTCCTTTAGGAATTACTTCAATTTTTAAGTTTTATGTCAAATCAGAACACAAGGATGGCAGTATTTCTGCCCTATAGATTCTTCAGCAAACTGTCCTGTTTCTAAACGATATGCAGAAGAATAATATAAAATCTCAATTTTAGTCTATGAGTTGAAATATGAGGAACAAGTGGTGTTTAAACACATCATGCTTTTCTCATAAGCTGCACTTAGTTTGTGTCCTGGGCTTGGTAAGTCTTGGTTTAGGACAGCTTTCATGTGTTTAATTATAGGTACTTCCCTAAGTGATGCACAAAGCCAAGCCTTGTATTTTTCAAGTTAAATAGTCCACAGATGTTACCATTGTAGAACTGCCCTCAAATGCTGAATTTTGTGCCCCTTTTAGAGTAAGATCGGTATACTTTATCTTTCTTTTGGATCAACTTAATTAATGATATAAGACTATCTGATGTAATGTCATTGGATTTCATATTACATATCTTACATCTTCTTTCTTTTCTTTTTTCCTCATTTTCTTTTGATCTTATGTTATAGTTTTTGTTCCTTTTTTTGTTTTTTTCACTAGCATTCATTCTGTGGCCTTGATGACACAACCGAGCCAAGATGTGTGGTTGGTATTCTTTATATTTCTTCATAGTCAATTTTTAGCTCTTAGATTTTGCCATATTTTGAGAATTGTTTGTAAGACTCTGAAACCACAGGGAAGGGCATACTGGTTTTGGTTGCACAGAAAGGAAGAGTCCCCTATAAAATCCAACTTGGATGCTTTCCATCCTAGACTTCTGCAGAAAGTCATTGGGTTTTCAATGAGAAATGATTTTGCATTCTGAGATGCTGACTGCTGTAACTGCAGTGGGTGCTTTTCATTTCTGCAACACAGGTACATTTTGTCTCAAAATTCAGGTATTGCTGTAGGATCCTGCCTTCTGTCACGCTGGATGGAGAAGCGGCATTGTTTTTCATTTTTTTTTCCTAAAAAGTCCTGTGAGCATCACCACCCATGCAAAAAAAAAGGAGTTCATTTTGCTTCCTCAAGATCTTTGAGGCCATGAAATCACTTAGGAAATAATGACCTATTTTCCCTTCTATGAGTCGATGTGAAGGTTACAATGTGACTGCTTCCTGTGTGCCAGCACAACATGGAAGGGGCGAGGGTAAAAAACCTCTGTGCCTCTCCTTTGCGACACTACCATCATTCTTGCTGTCCTTTCCACAACATCCTGATCCTTTCAGCTCAGTGCAAAGGACAGAGTGAATTTCTTCAGCTATAGCAGGAGCCATAGTGGCAGTGCTCACCTTTCACAGAGAACAAGAGGGAACACAATTTAGAAAATAAGTCCCAGTCCTCTTCCCTGGAGCAATGCAAGTTGCACACTGCCTTTCAGTAAGGATGGTAATTCAACAATCTGTCAGAGAATTAAGCTGTTGTTTAAAACTATTGAATATTATACAGTGGTTGTGTTGTTACTGTTGTTGAGGTTTTTTTGTTTTGGTTTTAACTGATAATACATAATGCTTTTACCTTTACAATTTTTCCAAGTTTTTTCTTCTTTTGAATCTGTTGTGAATTATGCTCATGGAATCTCCTTAGAGTAGGACATGCGTTCAATCAACACCTTTGAAACTGCTATCAACTACTGTATGACGAAGAAGCATGATGACAATAGTTATTCCAAAAAACTATTATATTTACCTTACATTAAGCTTGAAACAGTATTTTCTTCTGCCCAAATCACAAGTACTTTTGCGAAATCAGACCTGTATTATCATGGGCTCTTTTGAGGGTTTATTCAGGTCCCAGTACATTCAGTTATCATCTTTCTGTTGATACTCTTTGGAACTGTCTCTGGACTTTCATTATGAGCATTGCTGCATATGTTTTTTATTTTTCAATAAAATGGTGATAGATGGGTAGAATGTAATTCAAGGGTGTTATTGTTTTGTAACAAAAAAAAGCAGTAGCTTTCTTTTGATTGTTAGGTGGGTGTTGAAATGTGGTGGAAATTGAGCAACATTTCTCAGCATTTTCAGCATTCCCTCCAAAATTTCCTTCGATTTGTCAAAAATTGAGCATGTGCATATAGAGAGGTGTTTGAAGAAAGGTGAAGCCTTTTGGTACACTATTCACCTTTCCACAGTTTGAGATGAATTTTTTGTTCTGAGGAGATCAGATAGGACAGATACTGTTTTGGTTCATATAAGCTTGAAAGAGTAATGTTAAAGGAATCACCAAACTATTATCTTTGAAGTTTCATCCAGCTTTTTTATACCAGTCCTGGTTAGAGGTGCTAACATCTGGATGAATATATTTGCTTTTAAATATTGTGAAAAGTATACTGGCCAAGTCTAAAGAAACTTTATAAACATATAAACTTAGTGAAATTACCAGCATTTTTAAAATTCCATTTGAAATATTTTGAAATACTATGCATTTGAGGGATCCACAGGCTTCCATGCTGATATAACTGATAGTTTTATGGGTCGCCTCTTGGATAAAAGAGAAAAAAAACTGAAAAAAAATTTACAAGTATTATTAATCTCAAGAAAATGCATTATGCTGCTATAACCTGCTATTCTTCCTGTCAAAAGTATTTCAGTAGTTAAATTCAAGCTTGGTGACAAGCATTTTGAGGGAATAACACAGGAATAATGACCTCGTAGCCACATAGCTGCTCTGCTCTTGACATCTCTAGGAGTGCACATCACGTTGTGGTGCTAATGTGAAGGGCAACCTCCTTTAATTCATTTTACCAGAGGTGAATCTACCTCTGATTAACGTAACACAGAAAAGCCAATTTTAAGATACTTAGCTATAGTCGGATTCTTGAACATTGTTAACTATTTCAAGGCAAACCATGTGATTTACTGATCGTAATTTTGGTTCTAGTTATTTTGAAGGTAATATAAAATGAATTTAAGGTTGGATGCCAGCACTTATTTCTAAAGTAATGTTATTTATCTAAAGCTCAGCCGACTTTTTCTTTTCTTTGTTGTTTTTTGTTTTCTGTTTTGGTTTTTGTTGTATTTACAGGCTATTAAAAGAGCGTATGGAGTGAACAGCTGAGTCCACTTGCAAAAATACAGAAAATATTTAAGCAGCTTTAAATTGGTGCATTTTTTCATAAAGCAGTTTGCATAGTACATGAAGCTGCAGAAAATTTGAATTTAAAATTAGAGATTTTTTTAAAGATGTAGCTTCAAGCTGGAATGATTTCATAATCAAATAAGGACCAGCACATCATAAACACAGAAAAAAAGTCTAAATAGAATTTACACTGTCACACCAACCAAACAGCAGAAAATAATACAAGTGCAATTACTGGCTGCTATGCGAACTCTTATCTACCAAATGGTTTTCTTACAGTACTGAGATTTTTGTCTCCATACTGCATGCTTTCAACAAATGTGGTTTGCATTTCACCCAGGAAACACAGGATCTCCTTTTAATATCTATATAAAAAAAAGCTAAGTGTTTGACATTAAGTTGTCTATAGTAAATAGCTGACAGGAAGCAAACTGTTCAAAGTTGGAAACAAATAAAGATTTATGACCCTACAGTGGTAAAATTCATATTAAATTCTTAGGTTGGAAATCCACGAGGGAGAAAGGAAGTGTTTTGGTGAAAGGCAAGGTGATGGATTGAACTCAGAGAACTTTAAAGTGGGCAAGAACTGTGTGGGAGATATGATTTTTTGAATGTTTCTTGTAAAGTAAGGCAAACTTGTAAAAACAGCACTGGGAAAATGGAAGATTCCAAGGTGGCCTGAGGGGTCAGGAAAAGAGAATGAGTGATGTGCTGTGCTCAGTTATCTCTTCAAGAAAGAAGAGGGGCTTGAACAAATGGGCACGTTGATGAATACGATAAGCAGAGACATAGTTGGATATAAATATTTAGAAATCATGGCATCCTCTCAGATGAAATAAAAAAATTTTCACATTAGCTACCAGGAAGCAAAAATGGCACAGCCTCAACCAGCAGAGGCAGATAAACACTCATGGACATTGACCATCTGAACTGCAAGAAAACTTTGGGGTGAAGCACAGGCTGAAATAATGAAAGTTGAAAAGAGCTTTTTAAGAGAGAGAATGGTTACAAAATTAATAAAGATTACTCTTTCAAAGAGGGAAAAGCAAATGGAAGTTTCAGAACTGGAAAGGCAATATGAAGAAAGAGATAATTTTAATTATTTCTGAAATGTTGAGGCAAGCTGAAAATATTAAGAGCACAATATTAGAAGATAACTTTCTCCTTCCTCACATCTTTTTGGAAATCATATTTGTGTAAAAAGCCACAGAGAAACAAGTGTACTTCCATGGACACACTGAACTCCAATGTGAACATACTGAGTGCAATTAGATGGTTACAATAACACAACACATGAAGTAGAAATTACGTTTGACAAAAATAACATAAGGCAATGAACAATTAAGGAAGGACAAAGAAGGCTGAGGGAAAATTTTGTCACAGCAACTGATTTTCTCACTGCTAAAGGTGCAGGAATAAGCTTCAGGAGCAGCCAGTTTTCTCAGATAATTATTGGTCTTTGAAGATCAGAGGTGTACCCTCCACAAAGAATCACCAGACAACAGCATTTACCTGCAGAGGCACTGCTGAGACACTGAAGATCAATTTAGTCAAATGCAGCAAACTGTGGCTGATGTGGGGGTCTGAATAACCCTGTTTCCTGGTAAAAAGCACAGTTTACCTTGGAAACAAGGACCATGCAAAGTCTGGAATCTTGTTCTCCAAAAGAATGTGTTGCTCACAATGTGTTGTTCAAAAGGAATAAGCTTTTAGAGAATCTGTTTTCAAATAGAGATTTTTCGTGTTTTAGTTAAGGCTGTTAGCAGTGTGATGACATAGTGGAAAAATGAGGTTTTCACTGCAAAAGGCAGAATTCTGGCATCACTCTGAAGAAAAGGACCACAACAGGAGATAAACAGAGCTTGAGATAATCAAACCCAGTGATGATGAAGGAACAGAAATTGGAAAGTGTGATTCACTTGGCAAAGAAACCCTCTTCTCATAGGCACATTTTTGCTCATCACTACTTTGGATATGAAACCATAAGCACAAACATGGGATGGTCAGAGCACGTGGCTGCCACGGTAAGCACACTGCACAGACAGGAGAGGATCTTCTCACAAAGCAGAAAAGGTATGAGCAATTTCATTTTCTTATTTTGTGATGTGTTTTGTTACATTGTAATTGATATGTGACAGTTTTGTGTGTGTCAGTTAAAGAATCTGGCTGATCAGGGTGATATTTTCCATTGCATTCATGATAGGTTTTTTCTGCACTGAGCTAGCAGGATTCGTATTTTGGAAAACAGAGTATATCATTACAGTCTTACTATCCACTGTATGCTGGTATTTATTATATAGAGCTGGGAACAGGTACAGTGTGTTAACAGGGTGGCCAAGCATTGGAATAGGCTGTCCAGGGAAGTGACGGGATCACCATCCCGGGAAGTGTTTAAAAGCATGTGGATGTGGCACTTGGGGACATGGTTTAGTACTGGACTTGGTCATGCTGGGTTGGTGGTTGGTCTTGATGCTTTTAGAGGTCTTTTCCAACCTTAATGTTTCTATAATTCTATGATTAAATCCATACAATATGGTGGGCCTGATTTTCACTTTCTATGACACAGCTTTTAAATCATCAGTCCCAGCTGTGTAAGTGAAGAAAGAAACTGTAAGTTTCTCATTGTTGTCAGTTCTAACAGCTCTCCTGGTTTTATGCTGCAGTACTCAATAGTTTTCAGGATGAAGCAGCAGAAGCATAAAGCCTGATGGATCATGAGGTGTGAGGTCAGCTTTAGAAATTGTTATATTAACTTTCATTTTAGGAATGAATAAAAGAGCACCTTTAAACAAGAACATGTACTAGAAATAGGAGAGTAGAAATCAGTGTTGTAATGATTTTGCCAGTTTTTTTCCTGCCTGCATCCTCGCTGCTTTTAAATGCTGGTTACTTTCTGCAAAATATACTGCTAAGAATTTTTCTTTGTACATCTTATGAATTAGATATTGGGCTTGGGCACAGTTGAAAATGACATTAATTTGCCTTCCACTATAAATTGTTAATGAGCAGAGTAACAATTTCCACTATTATTATACCTACCTTTTGCAGTGCTGTTCAGGGATGTGCATTATCAAATAATAAATACAGACAAAATGCTAATGTCTCAAGGAACTCTAAATGAAGATACTGTTCTACTTGGGAAATTATACAGGCCAGGGGAGAGCCATGATTATGTTAGCACGTCTCTGAGAAGAGACTGGGCTTCGTAGGTCGAGAGATCACAAAGTGGTTTGAACTTTGTTGTCCACATGGATTTATTCTTTGATGTCTTTCCACACTTGAAGCTTTTAAGTATTATGACTTCTCATGGGACCAAGGAGCAGCTGAATCATTTCAGCTCGAGGTCCTTGTGTGGATAAGGCCAGCGAGTTGATAAAATTGACCAAAATAGTAAAACGTAGTGTCACTGACCGTACGTGTGAATAGCACATAACAAAACATGGGGTGATAAGAGAAGAACTGTTTGTTCAGTCTTTTGCACTGATTTTATGCCATTTTCTGCTCCTCAGCATCAAAAATGTTACTTTTATCTTCTTCCTGTATATTCTGCATTTGTCTACCGAAAAAAAAAAGTAATTGCATTATTTCCTGGAGAATAGATCCAAACTCCGTGGTTGAATTCCAATTACAGGTCCAATTCTAAATCAACACAAATGTAGAAAAATCAGAGGCAATTCACAGATGCCACTAGTTGTGGTTTAACCCAGCTGACAACTAAGCATCGTGCAGCCTCTCACTCACTCCCACCGGTGGGGAGGAGAAACAGAAAGAAAAGATAAACCTCCTGGTTTGAGATATAAATAGTTTCATAATTGTAACAAAATATATACTAATGTTAATATAAGTATGCTAAAATATGAGTAGCAGTAGTAATAATAATAAAAATAATAGTAATTATAAGGAGATGGAGAGAAAGTAACAGGACCCAAGAGAAACAAGTGCACTGCACTGTACAGTTTCTAAGGTGTGGAATATCCCTTTGGACAGTTTGGATCAGCTGTCACAGCCATGATCTCTCACAGCTTCTTGTGCAGCTCCTCACTGGCAGAGCATGAGACACTGAAAAGTCCTTGGTGCAGGGTAAACACTACTCAGCAACAGCCAAAACATCACTTTGTTATCAACATTATTCTTATACTAAATCCAAAATACAGCACTCTACCAGCTACTAAGAAGAAAATTAACCCTGTCCCAGCTGAAACCAGGAAACAATTATAAGACTATACTTACTGAAGTGAGTTTCTGTAAATAAAGGTGAACTCAGGCTGAAGAATTTTTAGATCTATGGCTAAAAGAGGTGAAAGAAAAGAACCAAAGTTAGCTTGCCTTCTCAGGCCCAAATTTGAACATTCCTTTTAGGCATGGTTTCATAACCTCTCCGAGGTGAAGTAGATATAAGTAAAATACTGCGTGGAGAATTCCAGAATGCAAGTTAAATATACTGAATGTTTTCTCTGAAGTAGTTATAGAATGCCTTTTGAATTGGAAATATCTTTTTTTAATCTTCTGTCTTGAAACAATAATAATACATTTATCCAAAATAAGCATACTCAGTTTTATGAACTTCCAAATAGTAAAGAATTATTCTCTTTTCAAAACTTTGGTGCCTAATTCCTTTATTAATTAGTCTAACTGAATCTTTTATGGGGATCTCGTGAACAGCAACTCCTTTCATACATGCTAATGGGGCTAATGAAATGAGACTTTCTCATAAATAATAAATGTGTTCAGAATCAAGAAGGACTGTTCATTTGATCATCAGAGGCTTAGACCGTGTTATTGCATGCTTAGAGTGCAGTATGTTCTGAACCTAATAATTTGGGGTTTTTTTTCATCATGGATCCTTCATCTGGAAAAGAGCAAGAATTTTGTTACTCTGTTAAAATACCCAGCAACGAAGGATTTGATATCCTGAATTTCAATGTTAAAATTGCTACTTCCTGGATTTTCCAGGAATTAGAAGATGCAAGCACACCTGATGGAAAAGTAAACAGTGCTGGAGAAGAGAACTTAAATCTCAGAATAGAAGAGCTGGAAAAGTCAGAGCAAAACCTGAAAGGTGTTCTAGAGGACTACGTGGAGTCAGATTCTGTCCTAAGACATAGGTAAATAAAAGGGGATTTTACATTAAAATTCATTGTGATGTAACAAATGTACTCTTCCCTTTGCCCCATGTACATGATAATTACATTATATGATTATCATTACATGATAATACAAAAGCAACAAAAACATCAACTTTATGTGTTTTTAGAGTGCCTGAGAAGATGCATGTATAAGTGCTTTGTGTAGCTGTCAGAACAGAAATGCAATATTCATTTTTTTAAGAATTATTATTTAAATAAGGGTTTCAGCATGGTCTAAAATGTTGTTACAAATAAACAGACACCTTTCTCAGGATACTGCATTCTTAAATATTCATAAGGTGTAAATTCTGTTTGTAAAGTTTATCCCTTTCCTTTTAAAGTAAGAGTTAATTAGGAATTTTGTGTTGTAAAAGCAGTTTATTGCTTCAGAAAGCTTCATTCAGTTTAGTATGTTAATGCTAAGTAGATAAAGGTGCCATTATCCATTAATTATACATTTGACTAGAATAATTAGTTTTTGATAATCAGCAAAGGCACTTTTTTAAAGAAAGTCAAAGATTTCAAAAGTAAGAAAATGGAAATGGCATTAAAATAATTATATGTATAATTTTTAAATTACTTTGATTTATCAAAGATTTGTCCAGAAATGTTTTAATAATGGGCTTTTTTTTTTCAGAATAATAATGAATCTTTTTTAAAAAACTTTCATAGGAATAAACGTATTGTAACAAGCATATTGGGGAGGAGAAGACATGGAGAACTTTATTTCAAACCAAAACAAAGACAGTGTGAGGGAACAATTCGAGGAGAGCAAATGAACAGCTGAAACTTGACTGAAAGCTCATTTTCAGGGACCTTGGGTAGCCAGTAAAAAGAAAAGGAATCCTATGCCTGGAGTTCTTGTGGCTGAAGCAGAGAGAGATGAGATGAGGAATGATGTGTAAGGCAGAACTACCAGGAAAAACAGAGAAGCAGAACTAAGCCAAGGCAGAACTCTGGGCTGATGTGGTCCTATTTCCTTTGATACCAGTGTCAGATGATGCAGTGCCTACAGAGGGGAGGACCTCGTCAGGTTTACTTTGATACATGAACGAGCACTTATTTAATTATGTGTTTTCTATCTTGATCCTGTTTCTTCAGAAATTCTTTTTTTATATGAGATTTTTGAGTATAGGTAATGTTGTAGGGGTGTAGGTAGCAGGAAATTTTGGCAGGGGGGAAGTAAGTCAAAGCTATAAGTTAGAAATGAGCAGGGGAACTCACTGAAGGACTGTTAAAAGTTGAATGAAGAAATTTAAGGAAGAACTAACAGGGTCCTGAGAGGCAGTGGGGGTAAAGTGTGCCTCTCTGAGATGAGAAAAGAGGTGGCTCTAGTACCTGCCTCATGAGATGAAAGACTTCTAAACTTCCTCCTTAACAAGTAAGGGTCATTTTGGAATTCACAGCTGTTTCCAGCATTGAGAAAATTTTGATGTGTAGGCTGAAAAGGGAAGGAAAGTCTTAAGGAAAAAATGAAGCTTGCTCTCGTAAGATTATTTTAGATTATTCCTCCTGTGTAGAGGAACCCTAACATATCATATCTTGAGCACAAGTCCTATGAGGAGAGGCTGAGGGAGCTGGGGTTGTTCAGCCTGGAGAAGAGGAGGCTCAGGGGAGACCTCATCACTCTCTACAACTACCTGAAAGGAGGTTGGAGCCAGATGGGGGTTGGTCTCTTCTCCCAGGCAGCTATCAGTAAGACAAGAGGGCATGGTCTTCATCTGTGCCAAGGGAGGTTTAGGTTAGATATTAGGAAGAAATTCCTTACAGAGAAGGTAATCAGGCACTGGAATGGGCTGCCCAGGGAAGTGGTGGATTCTCTGTCCCTGGAGGTTTTTAAGATGAGACTGGATGTGGCATTTAGTGCCGTGGTCTAGTAACCATTGCAGTGTTGGATCAAGGGTTGGACTTGATGATCTCAGAGGTCCCATCCAACCCGGTTGATTCTATGATTCTATGATCACACTATGTCATCTTACACTACCATTTTAATAGAAGCAGGCAAAGCGAAACCTGTATTTTGTCAAAATCCAGCCTTGTGGACAAAGTCAATACAGTCATACATTATAGGTTTCAGTACCCACTGAAGGTATGTTACAAGTAAGATGTTATCATTTCAGGCCCTAAAACACAGGTACTTCTAGGTTACCTGTAACATTAATTTTGATGGGAAGCATTTACTACCATCATAAAATTTGAACCTGTTAACTGTGAGCCTAGCAAAATCCTATGATCAGATACATGCAGAGACTGAAGTGTTGTGGTTGCCTTTGTGCTAAGTTGTTTCTTCACTGAACAAAAATCTTGTAAATGTGTTAGCTTATGGTTTTCGTATTAAGCCAGCAGAGAGGGACTGAACATAGGTGTTGTCTTTAACAGTTTTGAGACTTTCTAGCATAATGTCCAGACCTCAGACTTGCTAATGAAGTGTTACTAGTGATCCACAAACTGTTACTATTTTATTTTTGGGAGACAAGTGGAATAAATAAAGATAAATTTATGCATTGCTGATGACTGCTTATCTATCTGGAAGCGTACTGTGGAATTTACTTAGCAAAAATCTTCATTCTCACCATCACAGGATGAAAGAGCTGGAGCTGTCACACAAAAAACTTCTTGCGATGATTGATCAGCTCAATGCAAAGTTACAAAAGGTTGAAAATGCCAATGTACGTGTTAAAGGGAAATTGCGAGACATTCAGGAGGATCTGATCAACTTGGTGAGGAGGATATTGTTTCAAATTACCTAGTTTATTTTCTCTTTGTGGGAGTAATTTATAAGTCAGTCTCATTTCCAGTGACCTCTCTGTTTTTAAGCAATAAATCATCTCAGCCTTTATCTTTTTCTGCAAACATAGGAATCAGAAGAACTTTTGGATTTTTTTTCCCCCTTTCTCTTTCTCTGTTGTTTTTGACAGCACTGCCATTATTTCTTTCATTCAGGCCCTTGAACTTCGAAATATATGCTCACATTTCCTACTTTCTCCCCAGAAGCCTCTCTGTACTTCTTCTCCTTAGGTCAGACTTTGTCTTTCTAGGCCCATACGAAAGGCATTTTTATCTGGTCTACACAGCTCATTGGATGTATCCATGAAAATGGAGGAAGAATGAAAGTTTTTCAGGAACAGTCTTCAGTGAAACAATGTGTTTTGATTCTGTTTATCATAAGATATACTTTAATTTTCTCAGCATTTTAGGTCAAAGTTAAATACTCTCACGGTACAATAGTACTATGTGGCAAGACTCTCAAGTCTTGCTTCGAAGTTGCTGCAGTGTCCCTGTGATACTGGTGGCTCTAAGTCTGCTGAAAGCAAGGGCAGCATGGGACTCATTAAATCCTCTCTGCCTTTCATCTTTCACCTGTGTATGTTGCTGTGTTCAAACACACTATAGTGCAAATGAAAATACCAAAGCCTATTTTCATGTTGTTTCAAAAGACATCTATTTTTTTCTCCTTTTTCGGGAAGTTCATAAGAGGAGCTGACGGATGACAGGTATAGTGAGGGGCAAAGGACAAAAGCTTGGTCTCTGGAAAGTGTGTGTCCTGTTTTCTAAAACAGAACCACAGCTTCCCTGCCTGTAGCACCTCAGTGCTATAGTACTGTCAGCATTAAGGGTTTGTTATAGATCAGAGCTGAATGTATGAATTCCAGTTTAAAGGTTTATTTTGATTTAATGTGTACTGTAGAACATGCAAAAAATGTGGTTTAAAACTTTTTTTTACTTTTTGTAGTAGTAGATGGGGGTGAGCTTGTGTTTTGTTTCCTGCTGAGGTTTTCTGTGTTGGCTGAAATGACAAAACAGGTTAGTTTTGCTCTAAAGGCAGGATTTTACTAGCTTTAGAAAAAATTCTTTTTATGTCATTCCTGAGTTTTCAGAAAATAAGGGCAGAATTATTGCTAAATTAAAATAAATAAGGGAAGAAGAGATTTAGTATTAATATGTTAACCATACAACTCAATGAAATTGTAGGTTGAAAACCAAAAAAAGTCAGAGAAGAAGCAAAAGGAAAAATTGTGTTGGCTTCAGGAGCAGCTGAAGACAAAAGAAGAAGAAATAAAAAGCCAATCAGAATATTTTGAGCACTACAAACAAAGGCAGAGACAACAGACAGCAGTACTGAGAAAGAGGGAATGTTACCTTCGGGGTGAGGTATCTAGGCTGGAAAAGCAAGTCCTAGATCTTAGTTCCCATGTTTCTCTTTTGACATCTGAGATAGAAGAGGGAATGGTGCAGCATCTCCAGCAGGTGCTGGAATCAACATTCAGTGGGACTCAGGGTTATAAACACCCTGACATGGAAGTAGTGGAATGGAAAACTTGTATTGAAAATGTGGAGCATGATGTGAAAAGCCACGTTCAGGCATTTCAGCAAAATCTGAAGCTCTTAAGGGAAAAAGAGGAGGAAAACAGAAGAGAACAGGGGGACCTGTTGACTGAACTGCAGTGCTCTCAGGACAACGAAGACTTCCTCAGAACAAAACTGGAAGAATCTTCCTGTCATGTCTATAGTTTGAAATTATCTGAAATCAAACTACAGGAAAAAATGGAAGAGCTTTTGGATGAAAACAGAGCTTTAAAAAATCAAAGTACAGTGATGTTGAAAAAGAAGAAAGAAAAAGACTCACAACTTGCAGGATTGGAGAATGGAGACAACAGTGTTGACTTGGTATGTCAACTGGTAAGTAAAAATAAGACAAAATATAATTGGTTTTTGTCTTTATATCACCTTGAATTACACTTGTCATTAGATGTGCAATCAAGATGAAAGTGCGAGGCTTTATCTTTTCTGAATTTTTTTGTTTATTTCTGTTTATGCATTCGTACTTCAAACTATCTCATTCACACCCACTGGAATCAGTAGTTGGAGCTTCATTGCATCAGTGCTTTTATGAGGTGTACATTGAGGACACTTAACAACCCCTTTTTCCTTAAGTTTTTAAGTGATGTGCCCCTGGCAAAAGGTCTCAGTTGGCAACAGAAGTAGAACCCAGAAGAACTTCTGAGACCTCTGTCTTGTGGATACCATTCAATGGAGGAGTACACATATGGTTGGATGAGTTTTTGCATTTTATTCATGCCCAAATGCTGAAGCAAAAAGCACAGTTGGCAACAAATCTTCTCTATGAGATTTTCTGGATAATGGTAAACAAGGGAAGGTGGATACAGTGTTCACGACCGGAAGCGAGCTGAGATATTCAATGGTTTGCAGCTTTGTAACATTGTGATATGCCCTGAATACACTGAATAGACTTGTTTGCTTCAAGCACTTCACCCCAGCACTGCATGGGAAAGCTCTGAAAATGCTGTAATATGGCATTGAGCTTCTGCCAATTCATTTTGCTGACAAGGAACAATTAATTTCACAGAGTGGACTCGAACAAAGTTTTATTCTTTATCCACTGAGGTGGAGGGTATTTTTATTCTGAGAATTTGTTAAATTGAATCAGCTAAGCCTCACACTCAGCTTACTTCATTCAGATTGTGACCTGATATCCCAAGAACTCTCCTGATTTTAACTACATTTAACCAAGGGGTAATGGGCATGAAAAAATCCCTTTAGTATAGGAGGACAATAGGACAATAGGACTGTACTTGAGTACTTCCAGAACTGGGAGAAGCTAGAGAGGATCTTTAGTCTGTAAAAGCTAGACGAAATAACAACAATTTTTTTAACCTGGTAGTTGAATGTACTTTTGCAGGCATAGTGATTTAGTGGTTCTACAGCCCCAAAGCAGTGAGCTCCAGGAAGTTCCCTTTGGGTGAGAGAGAAACGGTGGTAAGATCATCCTGCAGTGACCAGCAGCACATGGGTGACCTTTGTGGAGAGCTCGGAAGCTGCACCTCACTGCACCTGTCTCTGTAGCTGCCTCAAGGCGGCAAAAAGACCAACCACTTACCCTGAACCATTGCTGTAGTTCCTTTAACTAGTGTATTCACTTTTTCTTGGGAAGGAAGAATACCATTTAAAAATATTTTAAGATACTTCTAGAGGGACTTGCACCAAGTTATAAATAGGTGCAACAAGCAAATGCACTATGAGGGGACTGCACAGCTAAAATCAAGAGGAGTGAGGCCTTTCAGAGCCTGAAAAGTAGTGAAGAATTACTATTGGGTTGCTAGAATTGAGAAAAGGAGAAAATAAGTGTGGAGATATTTGAAGGTGTGAAAGCAAGATATATCAACTGACTAATTGTCTGAGACTAATCTAAAAAGTCTTCAAGACAAAGGATCAAATCTCTTTCTTTCTGTGCTGTACTCTAATAAAAGGTTATTTTTTTCCTGTACACAAAGTTTTCTAACCATTTCTTTTCTTTTTACATCTGTGTTACTATAGGAGGTTACAGTCTCTCAGTTACCCAGTCTTTGGTATAAATGAATATGCCATAATTTGTGTTTACTCTGGTTTGTTGTAGAATAGGTAGTGTTCCTTGAATGCTGTGTGTAGCAGCAGCAGCAAATCTTGTGCCTTCTGCATTTCTATTTGTCTTTTCCTCCTCTTCTAGTGCTACTAATACACTTGGATTTTTCTAGCAGAAAATGACTTGAGATAGCAGGGAAAAAAATTCAATATCTATGATAAAAGGAGGAGGGAGACATCTGGTGTTTTTCTGTAAAACTGAAGAGGGCTTTTGCCCATTATCTGTAATTTTACTAGCACCTAATAAAATAGAATTTCTTAATCTCATCACCTTGATCTTTTAGCATTTAAATCAAAATAGGTACAAGAAAACTCTTATTTGAGCTCATCATACTCCATCAACAGCTATAAAAATGAGAAATCTTATCCAACACAAGAAAGATTTTCATGGTGTTACTTTCCTAGAAAACTGCTTGTATGACATTGTTCAATGAATGAGTGAATGGGATCATTTGCCTATTTCACAGCCAGGAAAAAAGTAGTTTGTGAAGACAGACTCATGAGACTTCCGTGAAATACACATGGTGTGAGATTTCTCAATAAATACCATGTCATTCAATGCTGGTCACATCAGTTATTCTTGAAGACTAGCCTTAATCATTACTGGATCTTCATTCAATAATACAATATTTAATTAGATTGAGCACCAAGAGGTGAACTACATCTCATGGAGGGGTGTAGGCACATAAATCTTGTCAAAAATTTGAATTTCCAAGCTTAGTATCAGATTCCTGTCTGCAGTATTCCAACTGCAGCCTACGCCTGCACAAAAAATGCACCAAAAAAAAAAAAAAAAAAAAAAAAAAAAGGTAGCTGGTTCCACATGGCTGTGTCTTGACTTATCAGACAGTTTCTAGATGTGAGCATTAGGGGTCAGTCTGTTGAAATGAAGGATAAGTATGAAACACCAAGCAGTGCATCTTCCTACTGCTTTCACATAACTGCTGAGGTCTTGATTTCACAGTGTGATGTTTGGCCATCCAAGTATTGTATGTTTTACATCATTATGTGTAATTTTCTTTTAACACTTCCCACAGAGTAATAATGAATTGATATCTGTGAAGAAATAAAAGGAAACTTCCAGGAAAGGAATCAGTGTGTTTCAGTTAATTGGCATTAGTTTCAAATGGGTTTCCCAGGGAAGTTGTGGATGCCCTATCCCTGGGAGTGTTCAAGGCTAGGTTGGATGGGGACTGTGCAACCTGGTCTCGATGAAGGTGTCCTTACTCATGACTGAGGGGTTGGAACTAGATGATCTTTAAGGTACCTTTCAACCTAAACCATTTTATGATTCAATATTACTGAGAAAATAAAGGAATAAATCTTGGAAGTGTTGTGGTTTTAAGTCATGCCTCCCAGTCAAGATCTCATAACAGAGTGCAATAATGAAGTAGCTGACTTGGATTGAAGTAAAAATTATTCTTACTGGTGATCTTCTGGAAAATCAGTGGCCTTTTCTGACTCACTACAAAGACTTGGAAGTCATTGCCTTTCCCATCCACATGTAATTTTAAAGCTGCAGTTCAGTCAAAAGGAACCAGACTCGTTTTCTGCTGGCATTTGATGCAGAGCAGTGCAGGAGGACAAAAGTGCCTTTGTTGACTTGATTTCTGTGCTGTTGCTGCTTTGGTTACCATCTTGATTAAGTATTTTGTTGAGACAATCAAAACTGAGTCTTCTGTTCACTGAAAATGAGCACAGTGCCTGTGAAATGTGGTTTGTGTATCAAGAAGTAGGAATATCTGCTTTTCATCAGGAAGTGTTGCAATTTCCAGATTCAATCAGGGAGTCAAGATAAATGTCAAGAACAGAATATGAAATTTACAATTAAATTATCAATGGGAAAAAAATCTGTTAAGAATGATTATTCAACTTTGAATTCTTCCAGCCTAGAAACATTTGTCTTTGCAGCTGGGCACTGAACTATTAGTGTCATTCCCTACTTGATTGGACCTTCTTTTCTCTTTGTTCATGAGGATATAAATTAGTCACAGTGTTCCACCTGTTATCTGACATATTACATGCTTATGACTCAGGTTTTCTTCCTTAACTCTTTTTAAAGTATGGAGGAAGCACTAGGGGAAAGTTTACATCCATGACATTTACTAGAAAATGTTGGAATGAGAACATTGTCTGAAACAATAGCAATTATAACGAAACAATGGGTCTTTTGAATGTAAAATAGCAAAGGAAGCTTATGTGCCTGTTTTTCATATCCCAAACACCATATGTGTATAATCTGTGTGGTTTTTTTCTTGTCCTCCTCATTTTCCCATTAAGAATGGAGATCTAATTCAGGATGAAGTTCAAAATCTTAAATGGAGACCAGTCTTGGATTCACTCAGAAGCAGAGCTACTCAAACTCCAGTTGTGCTGCTACATGCTGAAGAGTCTGGTATGCAAACAAAATGGAGTTTTTGCTTTCATTTATGTGCAATTAAAGTGAAGATTATTTCATTCATGAGATGTGCATGACTTAGAAGGTGTAAAACCTTCAAAAAACCTCCTAATTTGTAACCTGTGTCTTGGGAAGGTGAAACAACTGGGGTACTTTGCATGTCCTGGATGAAGTATAGTGTTAAGGGATGATGTGCAGCAGATTTGCTTTTCAGATTAAACAATGTGAAAGCTCTGATCTTGATAAATTGTATCAGGTAAATTCTTCCAACATAAATTAATGGGAATTTTATAGCAAATTTCAGTATATGCAAATGCAGACCTGCACTGAATAATTTCAGCCTCTAGGTTTAACCCAATAAGTTTTCACCTGCCCACCATAACAAGATGTATTTTCCATTTTTAAATACTTTGAGAACTGGAAAAGGCAACCCCCAAATAGACTTTATTTTGGAGCTCAATATTTGTGTTTTCTTGTGAAGTTTGTTTTTTTATTAAATGTTGTGCTTTTGTCTGTATCATTGGTGGTGTATGCTGCTGGTAAAGAAGGTAATTTTGAGCATGCTCTCACTAAAATATTTCTCTGTTCAAAACATCTCCTCAGATGTTTTCAAGTTTGTTTTTTATGCAACTATCTGGGAGTGACATTACATTTTTCCAGTGCTTTACCATAATAGAAACACCAGGATGTAGTCATGATGGACTAAAGCAGATGGAGGAGCTACCAAAAGAATCTGTACCAGTCTGGGAAGGCAGTTCCAGTGTCTTTGTGAAAGTTGCTGGTCTAACTGAGGCTGAGCAGGTGAGGAAAAAGGAAATTTGAGATAGAGTGAAGAGCTGGTGCATTTAAAGGTGAAGTAGCTTTACCCCATAGCTCCTACAGATGCTATACAGTATGAATACAGGTGTGCAGTAAGAAAATGAATGACTTAAATTTCATTCATATCATTACTCTCATTACAAATCGTTAAATAATTTGAAACTCTTTGTATGGAAATATTTTTTTCTCATCTGTGTGTAATCAAGTATTTTATGGATGAAATAAAGAATAAATTATGATTAGCAACATACTTTAGCCTATATATTTCAACTTGAAACATTTCTCATTTGCTATCACCAGGTCACCCTTGGAACAGAGAGGGCAGGTACTCTAGAAGATAGTTTCACTTTGTTTGGGTGTCCCCCAATTTATCATGCAGCAGGACTGCTTTCCCCTTACTCTGAGAAGTTATCTGATGATGAGACAAGTAAGAAAACCAAAGGTGAAGAAACCATTTTTCTCTTGAAGGAACAAACTATAACTCTACCAGCAAAGACATTCCCTGCTTCTGTGGTTGAAGCCTTGATGAGGAAGAAGCTCCAGCTTACTTGTTTCAAACCTGAAAGCTGCCACTCATCAACTGTCACCACTGTGGAGAAAGTGAGGAGTGCGAGTTTCTGTGAGGCAAATACTAATCTTTGGTCTGCTGGCCTCTGCATTATTGCAGAAGGGGGATTTTATGACAAAGTTCCTGCACTTCTTCATGGAAAGTTGCCTTCCACTGTGACTGAAATTTTCACAGCATGTCTAGAAAAATACAACATGGAAAAACATTGGGAAAACAAGCAAGTTCTGCCAAAAAGCCTAAGTAAAAATAGATGTCTGGATAAAATTGTTGTTGATGAAAAGTATCACCAAAAAATCTCTAGAGAGAGAGCTAAAGGACAAGAAATACAGACTGAGAAATCCCAGCCACAAATGGTGACCTGCGTTCTTGAAGGAAGTTCTAAATTTTTACATAAAATTGAATTTATCAGGCCTGAGAAGCAAGGAATGGAAGCCAAAGAGAGACTAGGTAATATACAGGATGTCCAAAGTTTGTCTCTTGATTTTAAAGACTTAAAGAAGAGTTTTGAAGGGAGTCTTGAACTAATGGAGAAAGAAGAAAACATCTCAGAGAACTGCATCTCTGATGTGAATAGCAGATATAATGGAGAAGATATAATTGAAATGGAAGAGAAAGGAGTGCAGGCTCAGAAACCAACTCACCAAACGAACCCCTCCAGCAATATTGGCATGAAAGAAAAGAAAGGCCAGACCTTGGGACTATGTGAACCAAATGAGAAGAATTTCTCATATGAAAATGTAGCTGCTGAAAACGTACAATATGCGTACTCTCAGAATTTCTTTTGGTCAGATGAAGAGAGGTATCCACTAAAATTACTGTTTCCTATGCAGGACAGTGTTGTGTGCCTAGGTAAACTATTCCTGCCAGGGAGCAGTTTTTATGAGTGTTTCTGTCATCTGTCACCACTTGAAGCCTGTAATGAATGTAATGTGAAAATATCTGTACTGGAAAAAGCAGTGGCTGTGTGTTCTCAGAGGATATTTCTACTCATGCAAGAGAATGAAAATTATTCCAAAAAAGTCTGTACATTAAAACAGGAGAATGAGAGATATGCTCAGATGATGTGTGCCCTGGAAGAGGAGATGGATGCATATTTTCAGTACATTTTAGCAGCAGATGAAGCTAACGTTGTTTCATTCCAAAACTTACTTAATGAGAAAGAGGTTTCTGGTGGATGTTACAGTAACTTATCAGAAGAGAACATCATGACTCCAGGAACATTTTTAGTTAAAACTTTATCTAAGAACCTCCCATGTATTGAAGAGAAAAATAGGAATTCTGAAAAAGACTCATTGACAATTGCATCAAATAAACTTTCCAGGAGTGTTCTATCCCTGAAGGGAAGGAATATGAAGTACCTCCAGCTGCTTTCTGACCTAAAAGAAGAAAGAAGCAGATGCTTCAAAGAAATAGCTAAATTATTTCAAGACAAGGAGAACTATGTAGCAAAATACAATGAATTAATACAGGAGAGAGAGGAGAATTTACAAAGAATAGCTCTTTCAGAGGGTGAAAAAGAAACTTTGTTGGGACATTTAGCAGAGATAAAGTGTGAGCAAGACAAATACAAGACCTTGGTTTCAGAACTCCAAGACTGCAAAACCAGCTGTTATCAAAAAATTTCTGATTTACAGGAGGAAAAATATGTACTGAAAAGTGAGATAGACAGAATCAAGAAAGAAACTTCAGAGCGACTAGATGAATTTCAGAAAGCAAATACAAACTTTATTTTAGAAAATAAAAAATTGAAAGAATTAGTGTCTTCTTTGGGTTTCACCTATGAAGAGCTGAGAAAAGAGAAAAGTTTGGGAACAAAGAAAAAGATAGTAAAACTAAAAGAAGAAAGTCAGCAACATGGTCTTAAGCCAGAGAAATTTGAAACAGTGTGTAGTGTAACGCAAACTGAAGAAGAAGGAGTTCTGGTTATAAATCCTTCAAACTATTTCCCTGGGAAAGAGGTAAATAATAACAGGAAGGAGTGTTATGAAGCAGTATCTTCTAAAGAAAGGGGGAGATATAAAAGTCATTCGGAGGACAAAGCTGAATTAATTTTTTAATGCAGAAAATGTCCTAGCCTCCCACATGCTGGAGAGGTGCTAAAAGTTAACTCTGAAATAGAAGGCAAAATGCCAGAGAATTTTTTTTCTGGATATTGTATTAGAGAATTTTAAAGTGATACAGCAAAATAGAAATTTAAAAATAATACTCATAAGAATACATTGTTATGGCATTTTTAAAATTATTTATCTTCTTGTAAAAGTAAAAACTTTTATGAGAAGCTTTTACTTCTAACTAGAAGTTCTCCTGCCAGAAGAAGAAAACTGCTGTTATAATGGTGAAAACATCATGTCTTAATGAAAAGTGCACATATGTTAATTTACTAACTTGTATTCTAATAGGGTCTAATTTTTTTATTGTTTTGATACGTATGAAACACATAACTAAAGATAGCATTTTTATTCATGGATTTCTCATCCACGTTTTTCCTATGTAGTCATGTATCTTACACCACAGTGAATTTCTGTGGAGATTACTACGTTCTTGCAAATGCAGAATTATTACTTCGGTTGAGAATTAACAACAGGGAAATATTTATGTCTAATACTTTGATTTTTTGCAAATATTTTTTAGTAATTTAGGAGGAAATCATCTATTGCTCTATACACATCTATGTGCCATTTTGTATGGGGGAGAGAAGTCATGTCTTTCTGTTATCTTTCCAGGGCAGCATGTTTGAAAGCTACAGTACAATGAAAGAGCAAGTTGAAAAGGCAAAAGGAGAATTAAAAATACAGCAAAAGGAATTAGAAAAATCAAAAAAAGAGGTAACGTTCTACTGTACTGTACTTCTGAGGAGCAAATTTGTTTTCCCTCATGTTTTCTTTCATGGCTGTTCTTCTTTCTTTTACAAAACAGAGAAGTCTCTGATTTGCAGAACCAAAATGTACTTCTTTGATCCTTAAGTGATGAACTGCACAGCCACTCTTGGTTGGCCAGAACATTCAAGTGAAGCATTCCTGCAGCACACTTTGACAGAGGCTTAATAAAGGCACACAGCACAAACTACCTGCTGTTCCCATGTCTGGGCAGCCCGCTCCATCACTGGGAATATGGAGGAGCAGAAGACAGTAGAAGCACTGAGACGTAGTTTTTTTGAATGAGAAGCTAAATCATGTAAAATCTGACACTGTCAAGGGGTTTTACTACTTCCAGTGGTGTTTCAGGGCATTTCCGCTGCTCCTTCTGTGGACAGCTGTGTAGTAAACAGAGTCCAACACCACCTACATGGAGACTTGTTTGGGTGGTTAGTCCTGTGCTTGGGTGAAGTAAATCTGCAGTTTGAACACCAACCGAGGAAACTTTCAGTGTTGTGCCTTTTTGAATGCACTGGCTTTCACATTCCTATTTTTTATTAATCGATCTCCACTCTATGCATATCTAAGAAGAATGTATTGCTTTTATGGCAAGTGTATATTTGTGGGACTGTTTCATGCAATAACAGTCATTGCTCAGACTCCCTGTGGACAAACCACTGGCAGCCAGAGGTGTGTTGAGTATGCTAAAGAGCAGTAGGTTTACCATAGTGGGTGTACAAAATGATTGTCCTTCGATAGCTGCTTTATAAGACTTCCCAGCATTCAGGTAAGGCAACTAAATTGAAGGGGAAGATTTGGATGAGTGATGGATGGTTAAGGAAAGGACTTTTGACCTTGCCATTTGAACATGAATGGATAATTTTATTTTTATTTATTTTGTAAAATCTGATTAACTTGGGTCCTTCGAATCGTTTTGTGTATTCCTTATTATAAGGAAATTGTGTATTGCAGTACTTTCCTCAGTTTAGTTAAAATAATGTGAAGTCTTCACTTTTGGGAAAAGAAATGATTTCTCATATGAGGGAAAGAGCTTGCTGTCAGGAATCCAGCTGAGCTACTGAGGTGTTTGTGGTTTTTGGTTTTGGTTGTTTGTGTGTTTCTTTTTTTTTCCAAAACTACAGTTAATGTGTATTGGTTGAATGAAAGTACCCTAGAGAAAATTAAAAGGTGAAGATAAGGGCTTTTTCTTTCCTTCTTTGCATTTTTCATTTTTGACATTTTTGTCTCCATTCTCATGCTGAAACAAAAACTCAACACTGTGCCATCTCCTAAGGGGAAAATTAACTCTTTCCCAGCTGAAACCAGGACATATTTCTTGGGAAGACTTTTTCCCGCTCAGCTGATAAAATCTTTGTTTTCATTTTTCTCTGAGGGCTTTGAAAGATATAATCTCTGAAATCATGTTTGCATACAGCACTGATTCTTTTAACTTTTTTCAGAATACTCACAGTACCTTCAAGTTCAGAAAAAAATTTAATTAGTATTTTCTGCATAGCTCTAGTGAGATATGATTCCATAGGACTTATTTCTAGAATCATATTAATTTCTTATAAGATTGTAGTGTATTGTATAATTCAATTTATTTTAATCAATTTATAACAATTCAAACACTGTGATGGGGAGATCAGCCTCAAATCCATGGCTGTAAGCTGGTATTGAAAAATGATACTGCTGCTGGACTAATTATACTCAGTAATTTTTTACTTTTTTGTTCTTCCTGTTAGGCTCAGAAGTGGTACAGAGAACTTGGTTTTGCTGAAACAAGGTACGAAGAAATCAAGGCTTGTTTGATGCAAGTTCTCACAGAATTAGACCACCTTAAACAAGAAACTGGGGACAAAATACTGGGAAAGCAGCACTGCAAATTAATGGTACGTATGCAAATGGAATGGAGGAAAGCATATTCCTTGGGAGAACCACTCATTATTGTTATTGGGAATAGACTGGAAGCAAACATAGAGCCATTGGAGCTATAAATATGAAAGTGAGCAGATATTATACAGGGTAGACCATCTGTCTACAAGGTAGTCCAGGGTCTGGGCTCTGCATGAGCGTTGTAAACACCTCACATTTTTTTTATAGCATTCTTGATATGCTATCTTTAGCCAAAGTCATTTTCAGGTGACCTTAATGAGAGGTAGTGGAGGAGTCTCCAGTGTTTCCAGTGTTTGGACTTTCTGCCCTGATTTCAGGCCTTCTAGCCCTGATTGTTAGATTTGGACAGGCAAAAATGAATCTGTGATGCCAGGCACTTTGTCGAGTAACTTCCACTGCCAGTGAACAGATGGTGTGGATTAATGGGGAGTCAAAGTCTTTAATAGATGCATGTGGTCCAAGTATGTATCCCCAAAATCCAGGAAATCTTTCTGTCACATGGAGGAAAGTCTCATTGGAATGTGCTTATATCACAGAAATTCTGGTTTTCTGTAAATAAAAGCTGTTTTAATTTTTAGGTGGTTCTCTGTCCTGATTTGGGTTTATGGTTTCCACTAGAATGAAGTGTTTTATGGAAAGATTTTTAATTACTGAGTAATCTTCTGGAAGCAGCTTTCATAAAGACTTTTCAGCTAACCCTGAAGTTAATTCTGTCCTCCTTAACTGGAAAGCTCTGAAAAAGAAATATGCAACTTCAACCAACTGGAAAAGCACATTCCTAGCAACCTACAATATTTGCAAATTCTGTTTGAATAGGTTAGATAGATATGGCTTTGGAAGCAAATAAAAACAAATTCTGGAAAATGTAAGGATTCTGGGATTGGTTCAGTTACCTAAAGGTTGCTGTTTATCCCAGTTAAAGACCTCAAGGCATCCTGGCTGAGGGTGTAGTTGTCTTCCTGGAAGTCCTGTGCAGTTATTTCATGTTAACTTGTACACCCTACGTAACACTAGAGACTGATGTTTAAACAGGTGAATTTTGGCTGGTAATTGAAAAGGAGGCACAGATTTTTCATATCATTGTGATGTATTGGCATGTAGAATCTTGAAACAATAGAATCTATTTCAAGCAAGAAGAAACTCCCAAATTGTTTGAAAATAAAAAGAAATGTATCATGATGTTCTGTTTAAACTAGCAATTAAGATTTTGGGGGCATTTTTGGCCAATGGAACTTTAATAATTTTGTTTGGTGAGAGTTTGGGGAAATTATCATTTATTCTATTGGTCAATGAAGTAAGCTGTTAATTGTTTCTATTACTCACATGGGAATAAAATTCATTAACCTTGATAGATGGTTTTTACACTGGAAAAAGTGCAGGAGAGCCTTTCTCTGAAAAAAACTGCTACTTCTAAATGCTTTGAATAAAGTTTTCAAGTTAGTGTTTATTGATCAGTAGTATATATTTATGCAATATTGTGATGTTGTTTGATTTGGATTTGACTTCTTCATAGGACTAACGTCAAGTTTTTGAATACATGTGTCTCATTCCAGGGTCAAAGATGCAGTACATGTACATCACAGAACTGGATTTATCCCTCAGTTGCACTGTTTGATGGCAGAACTAATTATCTGCATGACTCAGATCCATTATGTCTTAACCAAAGGATATTGATTTTATTGGCTCAATTTAGCAAATAGTATGATAGAAAATAGAGTAGATATATTTTAGCAAAGGTTGTGACTTTATTTCAATAATTCTTTTCTAAAATAAATTTTTTTATGTACACCAAGGTGTTGACTGGGGGTTTGTGTGAAGTTGTTAAAATATGGCCTAAGTTTTTTTAGACTAAAAAAAATGACCGAGACTTTTTGGCACAAAAAAAGGGTAATGATCTACTTTTCTAGCATAATTTTATTTCCTGGGGGCAGTTTTATAGACTGGTAATCCTGTTTTTGTTTTCTATTACTTGCCACCCTTTTTTTTTCCATAAGTCATCTTCAATTAGGGAATGTTTCCATTTTGTATTTAACATACTTTTGGTGTGGGAAAGAAGATGAGGTAAATACCATGTCACGGACTCATCTTCAGGCTTTTGTCGCTGCAGCCCTGGTCTAATCCATCTTGTGTGACCAGCAGTTGTTATTGTTCTCTTGACGCAAGAGGGAGCCAAAAAGTTTGGTACAAAGCCTGCTCGACCTGCTCGAATGCCGTGCATAGAGAACTTGCTTCATTAGGAAAGACAGTGTGAAAATGCCATGTTTCTGTTTCTATCTGTGTTTACAGTGACATGTTGCAGGCAGAGGGATGTGATCTTTCACTTCAGTTTGCTGTTTCCTATGAAACTGTGCCTTCAGTGTGTTTTAGTCACCAAGGGTGTCAAAACTGGACAGACCGTCAGGAAGCCAGGGAAAATTTAACTGTGGTGGTGTGCATCAGGGCTCAGTATTAGCTCCTCTCTCGGTTGTATCAATGTTTGTAACCACTGAAATCAAACCATCTTCCTGCAGGTTTGGTCAGAAAGTTATATGGTTTTACCACAGCGTATCATGGGCCTGACTGGAATTTTTAGCTTAATCTTTTAGACTTGCTTATAAACTGTGTTATCAGAAACCTTGACCAGTTATGTGTATCAGCTCAGTATTTTCTTTAATATAAGGTCGCAGTAGCATAAATGTTTGCCAGGAGACTTTCTTCACCTTCTAATTTTCCTCATTCTAAATATATATGTTTAATCTGGCAGTGTCACTTCTAGAAGCTGACCTTATGATGCTGACCATCAATTTAAAGCTCTCAGTAATCCTTTCAATCTAAATGCATGAAATTGGGCAGAAAAAGAATTGGAGGGTGGGGGAGGAGGAGTTAATTTCAGAAGCTTCTCTTTCCACATGATGAGTACCTCTGTTATTACATTTTAATATAACAAATATTTTATTTTAAAATATTTTGGAAATTTGTACTTAAAATCTGATTAGTTTTACTAATAATCTTCCAGAACAAAAATGTAGCTGTAAGAGTGGAATTTGCTGAGATAAATATATGTAGAAAAACAAGGGATGTATTATGTAGCTTATTATTGGAGCAGGAGACTGGTAACTTTTGAGTTCTCTTTTTACTCATTGTGTGATAATAGATTGGTCACTTAATCTGTCTGGGCCCCAGTTTCCCCATATATTATATTATTATAATACAATACTTACCTTGAAGGAATGTTGTGAAATCCCAGTCCAACATCTACCCTCACAGGGGCCAAGTACTCATTGCTTATAAAGAGTTTTAAGATTAGTGCAAGATATTAGGGCTCATACGTTTATGAAGGTTTGAAATCAGACATTGTTTATCAGCTTTCTTGTTTTTGAGGTGCAAGGTATGTACATATATTAATTGAGAAGTTTTGTACTCTAAAACATGACTGAGAATATTTTCTTTATTTTATACATCTAATTTGAAAATCTATGTATTTTCTCTCTAGCCTGAATACAGCATGAAAGATGTCCAGGAAAAAGAGGTGAATAAAAGAGCCAGTATGAGATTACAGCAGCAAGTGCTGACCTTGAAAGCTCAGCTCAGGGACCAGGCTGCATTAGAAAATCAGTTTTACAACCTGCAGAATGAAGTGGAACTCCTTCAGGCTCAGCTATGTGAAAAGGTATCAGAGAATTGTTTTCTGTGTGCTTAAACGTGAGTTTAGACTTCAGATTCTACCTCTTTCTTTTCAAAAGCGAGGAACAAAATAGTCTTCTGTCCTGGGAATTAGTCTGATGATAATTAAATGGTTTCCAGGCATATGAAAGTACCCCTGACTTCAGAGAAATAAGGAAAAGACGTGAACTGCCTGGGTGGTCGATATTATGGAAAGATGATAGACTATCATAAAAATTCAATCTCTGCTCTAATCCCCATAATGTAATGCAAACAGTGATGCTGGAATTATTTTACAGAGCCACTTCCTTGGCTTAAACTGTCATGACTTTTAACATTCTCAAGTCTCTTCTTGCACTATATCAGATTATGAAACAGTGAGCTAGTAATAGAATTTTGATAGAGTTTTCCCTAACTTTTCTTGTTCCAACTGCTAGGGTTACATATTAAGAGTTTCATTAACATTTTCAATTAGGTGTATGAGTTGGATTTTTGGTAATTGATATAGTTATTCTGATGAGCAACCCCATGTATACACAATTATACTTACCCAAGCAGTTTTTACACTTTTACATTATATTTCACCTGGCAAACCAGAGAAGGTACATTAACATTTGTAAAGCAACTGCCTTACTATGTGAAACTAAAGCTACTGCTGTAAGTCTGACTACAGCTACTGAACTCTTGGGTGGAAACAAATTCCTGCTAGGACTTTTTTTTCCTTAGATTTTTTCCTATTTTCTTGGAAACTATATTTTGAAAAGGGATGAGAGTTGCCTTGTGAGCCAAAGCACAATTGCCCATCATACTCTGAAGCAGCTCATAAATGGCATTTTCTGAATAGCGTTCTTTGTTCTTCATATCCTGATGCTTCTCCTCTGTATGTACTCTGAAATACAAGAGATTATTGTCTTCTCCCTACTGGGAACAAGTTTCATCTTACTTTCTCCACATTAATCCAACTGTTCTACAATTTTGTGTTTTGTTTTGTTCTTTTTTGTTTGTCTTCCGGTGCTTTGTTTGTTTTGTTTTGTTTTGTTTTGTTTTGCTTTTCCTAGCCTGGTCATGTGCTGTGATTTACTTTAAACCAGTCCTGTGCAGAGGGTTAGTGGCTTCCCTCAGACATTGATTAGGATGCCTCTTAGAAGAACAAGGGTGGTAAAATGAAATTGTTTTGTTGTGTCTGATGTCTATAGTGATGGATGGTGCATGTCAGATAGTACGTGAGTAGAAGGTGACATGTACTATCCATATAAATGGACAAGTCTTAATTGTTTTATTGCATCAGCAAAATGTGTGGTTCCCTGCCTTATCAAGAATTGAATGTCTCTAGTGCAGGAACCTACTGACAGTTCTTTTATTCCCCCAGTGCTAGTGCAATGTAGACTTGTCTTTCCCATTCTGCCTATACTGATTCTCCCAACCACAATTTATTAGCTGAGAACCATATGATCTCTTTCAGCATAAATGAGTTCTCATAAAAGAGTTTTTTATGATGCACATAATGTATTTAATGTAGACTTCATAGAAATACAAATTGTCAGGCAAAATGAATGCAGAGGAATCTGTATTTTATTGTCAAATAGTACTGTATTGATCCATAATGGAAGTGGATTTTACTTGGCAAGATATTGTGTTTTTACTGCAGAATCAGAAAGCAGGTTTACCATGAATAATAAACATTTTAAGTGCAAGGTAAGACAAGGTCATCTGGCTCAGCCTGGTTCACCTCCTAAGAAAGGACCTGCATCAGCTGTGTTAGAGTAGAAAGTTGTTGCTGTTCACTTTTCAGAGTGGAATATACGTGAAAAATCCTTCCTCACTTCTCTAATTTTATGTCATAGTATTGATAAGAAAAGTGAAAATTTTCCCCAAAGAGTGTTTTGAAAGATTCACAGAGTAAATAGGAACACGAGTGCATAATGAAGTCTTTAATGTGATGCTGCTTTGATGAAATAACCTCACTGAAATAAAGCTCCAACCAAGAACATCCAAAAGCTTTTTTAATTCATAAGACCTATGTTAATATGAGGAGGGCAGTGTTTGTGTGCCAGGGTCTATCTATGTACCACCAACTCCTTACACTGCTTCGTCTTGTTTGTGATATAGGGTCACACAAATGCACAAAGTGTAGACCTCAAAGTCAGGTCTAAAACAAATATCAAAAATCTACCAGAGTGTCTTAAAGTGATTCTTGAATAAATTAATGTGGGATACATTTCAACCTTTCAGGAAAAAGAACTTGAGAAGAGAAAGTCTGACGTGAAGTTGACATTAGCTCCTCTGAAGGTACTGTGTTTTCCTGAACACCAGTGCAGGACCTACACAAAGGTTTGCTCACAAGCTTCTGTGCCTGTGCCTCCTTCTGCAGTTGCCCCTGACTTAGCTGTGTGCTGCTGGGCTTCAGGTTTAGGCAAGGGCTTGCTGACATTATTGTAATGGGTATTCTTCAGCCTGTCGAAAGGGAAACCTTGCACATGGAAAGGGAACATCTCTTTTCAGTTTATCAGTGCACACATTTTGCTCTGGCAAGGTTCAGAGGCACCTAATGGCATAGAAACATAGGAATGCAGTCTGTAGCTTTTGCTTAAAACATGTGAAATTACAGATCAGACACAAAATATAATCTTGCAGTCTCAACAGGGAGTGAAATCATAGAATCATAAAATGTATATGTGTTCATGCCACACAGGCTAAGCTGGCTTGCCTCACCCGAAAGTGCCAAGAAAGGAACAGTTTCATTATGAGGATGCACAGTGAATTTCATAGGCATGGAATTATTAACTCTGCATTTGATGAAGAGGTGAAAAACCTGGTGAATGACATAACCCTGACAGATTACGTGGCTGCTTTTACACCAATGTGTGATCAAGAGGTAAGTGCTTGTACTTCCTTGTAGGATCCTCATGTTTCCAGTATTGAATTAAGATAGTGATTTTTAAAGTGTTTACTGAGATTCACAGTGTAGTTATAAAATAAGTTTCATCACATAATATAAATATTTCTTCAAGCAAATCAGTGGAGTTGGACACTTTATTGTTGTTTTGGTCAGGGTTTAAATTTCAGGAGTTTATAGCAAAATACATCAGTGCTCCATGAAAAAACCACTTCCCTGATATTTTGACAAAGTATCTGAGTGTGCAATGCAGCACGTATTATTCAATTTCACTATAAATATGAATTTTCCTTTTTTTCCTGCACAATGTATTGTCTCAGATTTCTGAAGAAATCAGGAAAAAAAGGTCTACAGTGAATCATTTTAAGATTTAATCAGTGAACATTTGTATTTGAAAGGGAGTTAGTCACTTGTGTCCTGGTGGCAAGAGTAAAGTGGGATGTACTGTTTCATACCTGATTCTGTTCAACATTGTCATTAATAGCTTGGATGTTGGGAATATACTTCCTGATCTTGGAGTAGCACCTACTTGAAGACATTCTTAAGGACAGGGATCTGAATCTGGAAGCCTGAAGAAACAGGAATTCCCTTGCAATATTTCAGTAACTATCACCAAATTCTTTTTTTTCTTATGATTTTCTGTCTCTTATTATTTAAAACAAAGCCTGCAATAGTACCCAAACAATATTTTGAAATGTTTGTGTCAAACATATTTAAATAGAATCTTGCTGGTTAAAAGTGGGGGAATACTGTATGTTACACATTTGTATAATATTGGATGCCTACCACAGCAGAACAGAATACAGGTTCATACTATATTTTGTACTTCAGCTAACACAGGGCACTGCAAAATAAGCACATAAAAATAATTTATCTTAATGACACTGACTTTTTCATCAGCAGAAGTAAGGGTGCTTAAGATGGGCATATAGTATAGTAAATTTTTCTGATTATTTTTCTGATTATTTTACATTTTTACACACTGAATGGTATTCTGTATCATGCTGCCAATGCTTATTCTTACAGTGTTATAAAGTGTTGCAAGCTATCACTCAGTTGTATGTGTTCCTGTGGCAAGAAGTAATTTAACTGTATGTTAAGGGAAAAGGTAGATTGGTTCCTGGTTGCAGCATGGGACAGCATTCTGTGTCTGTGTGTCCTTTGTGTACCTCCAGTTTGGGTCCACTACTGTCTCACTTAAGCTCACACTGCACAGAAGTGTTTTTGGTGACAGTAGTTAGTAACTCATCTGTCAGAAGGGAATCAGTATGGCACTGCCTTCAGACATGATCTCAGACCATGTTCTCAGATATTGCTGTGATAGATGAGCATTAGTAAAGCTTCCCAATACAGTAAATATCAAAATATTTTGCACACACACTATCTCCCTGAATGTCTAATTATTGCAAAATTTAGCAGGCCCAACAGGAGAGAATTAGATTGAATTTATATTCTAACAGCCAGTGAGCTCATTTGCAATATAGGGCCCTACATTAAATTCATTGCTTCAGTAGATATTTAGCTATTCATACTAAGTGATGCACAGACCCCTTCCCGCAGTATCCAGCACCATAGTGGTCAGAGGGATTCAAGCCTGGGTTTTTGATGAGGCAGGGAACAGACTGGCTTTTGCTGGACACCTTGACACTGAGCTTTAGACTGTTCTGATCTGTGATAAGTAATTCCACATGTAACAGGGGAAATCTTTCCTGCCAAGGAAGAACTGTATGGTCCTATGAAAACTATATGTTTCTATGGATCAGGTTTCCAATGGAAAATACTTCAATGAGAAAATGTCCAAGTTTCACTAATACTAATTTAATAATGGTTACAATGAAAAAAAAATAGAAAAGAGAGACTGTTTCTATTCATGTGATACATTCCTTTGGTTTAAAAAATCTGGTACTGAATTCTGTAGACATGTGTTAAAATGAGCTGACTTTTCATCTTTGAGGCTTCATTTCTTGCTTTCAAGTCTTATTCTCACTGGAATTTACATCTAAGATTCCAGAGCTATGCCTAACTTCCACTTACATAAAATTCCTTTGAAAGCTTATTTCCTTCCTTCCCTTCAGTTTTTCTCTTCTACATAATTCCTAACATTTGAATATTGCTATACAAAACCTGATGGGTTGTTGCTTGGGATTTTTTTTTTGTTTTTTTTTTTCTTCTTACATTTAAGATTTGCGAGTGGTTTTACTCATTTCTGGACCCAGTGACAAATGGAAGCCTGTCACACATTGGCAGCAGACTTCTGTGCTTTGACTTACTGATGAATTTCAACTGAAAATTTGCAGTGATGCATGAAGGGCTGATCCAGAGCCCTTTGAAGGGAAAGGGGACTCTGTACTCAATTCAATGCCTGGCCTGTACTGTAGTTCAGTAAAAAACTTTGAGTCTTGTTCTCAGAAAAAAAAATTAAAGTTTTATTAAAAACCCTGGTTTTTCTTTTTTGTTTGTACATGGTATTACATGTCGAGTGGATAGGTCTCCCCTAGCTGTGTGCTCGGACACTCCAGCTTCAATGGAGGATTTATGGGCATCACAAACTTACTTGTACTCAAACACAAAAGTGAACTTCAGTTCTTTGCTTATTGAGGACACGACGGATGGTTGGTCATTTCCTTCTGTTTGCCAGAAGTATTTTCTTCCTAATGTTCATCCCAATTAAAATACTAAACCATGAAGACATTGTTATGCAAAACTGATCATTTTTGGAGCTTCTTTTCAGACTTCACTTTGAGCTTTTGAGGCTCTGTCCTCAGAAATTATAAATCCCTCTTGTCCCAATGGCCTTATTTTGCTGACTAAATCAAGACTTCTAATCAGTTCAGTTTAGCAGAGCATCATGCATTTTGAGGTTTGTCATTCTTGATTATTTTCACAGCCCAGCATTACATTCAAATGTTTGTGACCGAGAAATAAAATTTGCTTGAATTCATGTAGTATCTCATGATTTTGTTCAAGTGGTGTGCTCTTCACTGTGAAAGCCAGTTTTCCTTATCTTGATATTCTTTTCAAGTCCCTGTAAAGGGGACTAGATTTTGAATTACTTTTCCTAACCATAAAACTGTACACCATGAAGCTCTTTATTTGTAATTTAGTTTAATTGGGCAATTTAGTATAATTTAATTTGATTTTAGTGGTTTTTTATTGTAATAAACATGTATGATTGCACAGAAGGGGCTTTATTTAACTTCTTTTTCATCCACCGCCTTCGTCACTGTAGTGAAAGCAAAAATTCTGTGCAGGATGGTGAACAAATGCTGCCTCTCAGTTTTGAAAAAAATAGCCTTTTGGGGGGCCATAGGAATGACAATGTATGTCTAATATGGACTTGAAATTTTTGGAGGCATGAAGAAGTTAATTTCTAAGCCTCTATGATGTGTTTTTCTTTCAAAAGGCTTAAATTGAGAAACCATTAGAGCCCCATGGAGTAGAGCAATAACAAATTTGGGCAAAGGAAATACTTTAAAACCTTCTCTTATTTTGTGTTTGGAAAATGGAAAGCATGTGGCTGAAGAGGATACATTCCCGGGAAAAGGGCCGCCTCCAGTGGGTGCACACGGAACTTGGCACAATACCATAGCTGGGATTCACATACCCAAAGTTAGACACAGAATGTGTCCATTTTTGGTCTTTTGTCATGTCCCATTTAAATCATCTCCTTTTAAATGCTGATTTATTTTTTTTTTTAATTGGAAAGACCTTGACCTCATCTTTCTTTTCTTGCTTTTGTAGAATTAATTCATGGACATTATCAACAGTTATTGTTTTTCTGCCTTTCCCAGTGAAAAGAACACAGGACAGCATTCATCAACTGGTCTTAGACACTGATGTTCACGGAACACCTAACAAAAAGGACTGGGATTTGGTTTACAGCAACTACTTAGGCTGGTAACAGTAGGATGCAAGAGAAGATGTTCCAGATAACTAACAGGAACTGTAAAAGAGGAGGCTTTATTTCCTCCTGAGTTTAGGTGTCTACCTGCAGTTTAAGAAACAGGCTTTACCCATTCTGACTGGCTTGAACATGAGGCAGTGTCCATACTGCTTTTGAGGTACTAGAGAACTGCACAGAGAAGCAAGTGAGCTTGGCTTGCCCTTCACATGGATACAGCCCAGCCAGTACTTTGAGCAGTGCCCAGCCAGTACTGTAGTATTTTGGGGCCTTTTCTCTCTCTTTTAGGGTATGTGTGGAGAAATAGGAGTATTCTTAATTCTTTCCCTCAAATGATTGAGCCAACAACCTCTATCCAGGTGGCTGTAATGGAAAATGCTGCTGTACTCACCCACTTCAATTTCTCTTGTGCTGGAAGGCTTTGGCTTGATGATATATTTTATATATTCTTTCCATAGTGGATCTGAAACCATTGTGGCTCTTTGCCCTCATTTCTTGAGGCTGAGAGGCAATTTGTGCAAGGAATGTAGGGATAAATGATAGTGCTTTTTAATGCTTTCCATACAGTCATCTTAAACCTTATGGATGGAAAGCTCCAGGCAAAGAATGTGTCCAGTGCAGTGAATTATTTGTTTTATAGAATAGGGAATAAATGTGATGAACAGCATAGCTTAATTCTTCTTTCTGTCAAGGGATTTCTTCTGAGATACATTTTGGTAGAACAATGCTTTTTGTTTGTTTATTCATTTTTATTTCCACTCATTACATTCCAAGAAATCACTTACTGCTTTCCTGAGAATCATATTTGAAGGAAACAGACCTGACATAAAATTTTCTGATGCTCTCCTTAAAATGGTTTGTGTGTGACTGGTGAGGTCAGAGGCTTTTCCGGTGCTAAGGGTGAGATACATTTCATGTTAGATATCTGTACTTTGAACAATCACATCCGTGGTAGTTTATCTATTTATTTTCATAGTTAATGCAGAGAAAGAGGTACTTCCAAGGAAGTATCCAGACCATTTTACCTACCTACTTTTGATGAGCCCGAATGACCGTGCACTGGAAGAGGTTGCCCAGAGAGGTCGTGGGGTCTCCCACGCTGGAGATATTGAAGAACTGTGAAGACACGGTCCTGTGTAATGAGCTCTAGGGAGATTGGACCAGATGACCCACCTGCAGTCCTATTCAACCTCACCCATACTGTGGTTTTGTAATAAGGTGGGAAGAGTAGTAGATGTTGGATTCCATTGGTTGAGAAGAAGGATATGCTTTGGTCAGGTGAGTCCCACCCTCAAAGAATTTAACATTGTCTCCAAGGCTTTCAATCTCTTGGGGACAATGATGACCAAGAACAAGGAATCTTTCAAGATGAATTTTTTTTTGCAGGAAGAGGTTTTTTTGTTTGTTTTTTTTTTTCCTGACGTTACAGAAAATGTGACTTCAATCATTAGAATTCCAAGTGGGTTAAAGAGCAGGTGTTATTTAGTAATTTTTTTAAAGAAGGGTAAAATCCACTGCTGAGACATGTTTTTTGACCTTCAGTAAAATTATTAAAAATACTAAAGGGCATGAAATACAGATTAAAGCCAGTTAATGGCAGTCTGGCCTTTCCAGTGAAATAACTGATAAAGCTGTTCAATAATCATGTAAATGGCTGTTTGCACAGAGGATATCTCAAGAATTTGTGGTGGCTGAGGAGATGGTCCATGCTCAAGATTAGTACCATTTTAAAGTAAAATTGGGTTTACTTGACAAAGATTTAGATCTGTTTCCTGACTGCATACATAATACAGCAGGTATTTTTTATTGCAGATATTTTAGCAGTGGTTTTTACATGGTAATTCATGGGCAACAGCATGCATTTGTCAAGCAAATGCCAGTAGAGTAATAGCCATGATTAAAAAAGAAAAGCTTTAAAAAACTAACTTCCCTTTATTTTTTGATAAATGCTAGAATTTAGATTAAGATAAAATTTAAAATGAAAAATATCCAGATGAATTAAAACATTTTATTCTTACCTCTGACATCACTGTCTTTTTTTTTTTTTTTAATGTTAGGGGATGGTGATGTTTTTTTGTTTTAATGGCAATCTTTTCTAGAACTTCACATTATGCAAATTTACACTCTTTTGCATTTGCTGGAATATCACAATATTTTCATTTCTTTCTAGGTAGGCTAGTTTCTGGAAAACTGAGAGGAAATCAAAAAACATCAATATTGTAATCAATATTGTAAAAATAATTAAAAATAGCAAAAGAAAACGAACCTAAAAAAAGACAAAGAACTTAATGTCTGAGCATTGAGACAAAATACAGAATTTTTGCTTAGCTGCATCCATAGTGCTATAGAAAATATGATCTTTAGTGTTTCACAGAGTCTTATGGAACACCAAAGGTGAGCCTTTTTGAGAGAATCATACCGAATTGAAAATATAGCACAGAACATATTGTGAAACCATCAGTGCAGTAGCATCTTCACTCACCAGGGTTTGCATTAACCCACCTTTCTGCTGAGTTTCACTACTTTAGCTGCAGAAGAATTTGTTAACTCCAAGAGGCAAAAGAGTTTGTGGGTAAAATCGAAAGGAATGACCCTGCAAGGAGATTATTTTTCTGGAAATGACATGTTCAGTGTCACAGCTTTGATTTGGTACTGTGTTTTTTTCTGGTAGCTTTACCAGCTCTCCTGTCTATGGGGAGGACAGTGATTTGCCTTTGCATGGGTCACTGAGCTAGAACTTGTTCTGCTCCTGCTGGCTCTCATCTATCACCATGGATGCCTCTAACTGTGCTTCCTGTAGTGAGGAAATTCTCATCAAATAATTTTAGATCCAATCTCTTCATGCCTCAAAACATTTCAGGGCTACCCTTTATGACCCCTGCATCGCTTTCAGCCAGCCAGCACTTTTTGTTAGTGCTGGGGAGAGATGCTGCACTCGTAACCTTGGTTAGAAACCAAGGACTTCTGGAGCTGCCTTGGGCTTCTGTGTTTATAGGGGAACATGTAAATGTATAGCTTTCACTTTCCACCTGATCTATGCCTGTGATGCTAGGATATGTTTGGGTATTCATGCCACATTACCTAAATAAATGCAATATCCATATAGTGTCACAATTCCCTCTGTAATCAGCACAGAAAATAAGTCTTTTATGGAAGAGCAGCAATCAAAACTGCATGCCCAAAGTTGGCCAATATAAATGGTCTTTCAATTCCTGGATGTCCCTATCTTGTTCCCTGGCCTCTTGTTCAGCTTGAAGTAAATGATCCATGTGGCAGCTGCTCCTGGGCACTGTCTCAGCTGGCCAAACGTGCTTGTGTTGGGTGCACTAAGGAGACCAATGACCACAATTTACCAGTATTTGTTCCCTCCTCTCATTGTGGGAAGCCAAGAACAGGAGGTGAAATGGGATCAAAGGCAGTGTTAGTGTTCATTGCTTGTGTTTACCACTCACCTTTCCTTATGTGGTGTATCCTGGGGACACTCCACAGTGATCACCCCTGAAAGACAGTGAGACTTCTCTGGGCAGTGGCAACAATTTACACACTGTGCATTCTTCTTCATGTCATAACAGAACTATATTTAGATGCAGGAGCTTGTCAGTAAATGCTCATTTATTGTAAATGCTTTGAGGGGTCATTTAAGAGCAATCTTACACCTCTATGGCATTTCAGATTTCCTTGATTTATGTTTTTTTTCATGGACACAGTGATGTAGCTATAGCTCATTAAAGATGCACAGAGCAAAACTAATATTATTTTAAGTAAAATGTATTTTATATTAAGTAACTCTTCCTGACCTGCAATATTTATAGTATTTGCATTTCTGGAACTTTTTCAAGAGGCAATGAGGTAATAATGCATAACTAGGTATACTAATTTTAGAAATAAATAAATTAGTCTTTAAAAACCCAAAGGCTGAACCTGTTGTTAAGAATCTGAAATTTGGTTTTGTGTGTAATTGCAAGGAAAAAAACCTGTAACTGTGATCCTGTAGCTATCATAAATTTGTATTTGGATGATAAAATGCTACTGTCCTGTGGTAGTAATTTCTATTCAGGGACATTTTCTATTCCTGCTTGCAGCTGTTATGAAAAGGTGCATAATTAAACTGCCATTTCTCTCTAAATTTGACTTCAGATCAGTGAAGATATTTGAAAAGGATAGTTTGCTGTGGTGCTAAAATTGATGTGGAGGTGAAATAAGATCAAGTACATTAATACTATGTTTATGCAGACTAGGAGGGTCTGCATAAGAGTTCATGCAGTTGAACTAACACACTTTTGAAGTCCATTCAGGTTAACTTTCTTGGGTGTTCATAGGTAGACAAACCTGAATTACTTGTGTAGTGTGGACTGAGAGAATACGTGCGTAAAAGAATCATGTTAGAAATTTTGAGATTCTTCAAGAGGAGACCTAACATGAGACAATTTTTAAAATTAGTAATTTTTGTCTAGTTTTATCTAGGGTTTTTTTTTTTTTAATATCCCAAGGCAAATTTTTGGCTGCAGTTAAAACTTCAAGATGTTTTTGTTTGTTTTGTTTGTTTTGAGGATGAGTGGACAAATGCAGGATTCTTTTTTAAACAATGCAGAAATGCTTCACATTTAAACTAATTGGTATGTTATCTTTTTTTCTTATTTTGCTAAATGTAGTTTATTTACAGCTAATTTCTGTGAATATTTCTTTTAATGAATTCATCCAAACGGCTTGCACTAAATCCAAGGTAAACAGCATCAGAAAACTTCATCTAGCTTGAATTTCTTAAAATTGTGGTTTCTCTTGCAGACACTACCTTCTTCCACAGACATTTCACAGGCTAATGGACAGCCAGAGGATTGTGAGACAGCTGCCAAAGTGAATGGGATGACTGGGTCAATACCTGCAAACTCTCAGCAAGAGGCAGATAGCACCCACAGTTCTCACATCACTTCAAATGTGTGTGCTGGTTCTCCTATCAAATTAACAAGCCCGGAGAGGATCATAGGCCTGCATCGAGAACTGAGACAAAACCATTGCAAAACTTACCAGGTCAGTAAAAATTTTCTCACTGTTTTTAGTTTAGTGAAATCTGTTATTCTTGGCAGAAGATACAGATATGTGAATGATTCCTTTGATTGTTGCACATTTGATTGTTAGTTTAAACAATCTGACAATAATAAATGTTTAAAGTTTTTTGTTATGTATTTTCTTCCCCATTGTTTACGTGTGGCTTGGGGCTTGTAAAAATAATTAAAAGGTTTTGCTTTCATCATGGTAAAATGATCTTCAGAAATCGTTGGATGTTTTTTAAAAAAAAAGTTGTTATGTCGATCTTGTCCTACCTTTTTTCCCTGCAAAGTTTTTTTGGGGTTTTTTTTTTTTTTTTTTTTTTTTTTTTTTTAGTGATCCAATTATTCCTATGCCCTGAAGCTCTTTATAGTAATTTCCATTAACCGCAGGAATCCTGTTAAGAACAGAGCTGATCAATTGCAATTGCATTTGTGACAGTCTGCTGCTAAACTAAACACGCAAGAGATTTCACCCTCTCTGAGACAACATAACCTCTCCATATTTATATGGAAAAAAACCCCAAATATGCAATTACTGGAGCCAGTTAGGTAGAGTAGTTACAAATACTACTCTACTGAATTTTATTTATAATCTTGGATTAAAATAAGTGTGATAAAACAAAATCATTGTTTCTGCTTTTGGCGTTAATGAAAAAAACATGGAAGATACTGAAATTTCCTTTTAGTTAAGAAATTTATTATACAATGAGATGATGACTCAGAATTCTGATAATATGTTACTTAGTCCAGTAACAATTCAAATCAAATTTCCTGCTCCTTTTCTCTCTCACTGTCACACATATAAAGGACCAATTAAAATATTGCCATAAAAGAAAACTATTATGGAGGGGAGAATGCAAGTAGCTCTTTGATTGATCTGACCTTTGTGAGCTCAAAGATTACTTTTTTATATAAATCACATGAGCTGTAATTAAATCCCAATGAAAGCAGGACATGGGCCTTACGTGGAATCACATGGGAAGCTATGGCTGAAATCAGCCACAGTGCACAGAGTGGCCTGTTTCCCCATAACATACAGAAACACACTGTGACATCCAAGGTTACGGTTTCTCTTCTTCTTTCCTCCTCAGATACCTTCAGTTGTCTCCTCCAACTCAAATCCACAGGCTGATCGCAACTTGCCCATGATCCATAAGGAAGCCCCTTGGCCTCTGCTGTCAAGGATGAAGGATGCACTGGTGCCTCTGGAGCATAGTGTCTTCTGGGCCACGAAGGGGAGGGATCAGTTATAGAAACGTGATGATGTGTTTTGGGGTCAAATAGGAAATCACCATGCAGGTGCTACTCCCCGGGGAACGAAACAGAAAAATGCCATTATGAATAAGGCATGGCTCTCTAGAGAAAAAACAGATGGCTCAACCTCAGCTACCACTGCAAAAAGCTATTTGTCAGACGTGTTGTCAGCAAGTAATAAAGGTCGAAATCCTGTGGGTAGGAATCAGCTGCACGGGAAAGAATAAAACCTGCAGAAATAAAACAAGGTAAACCATCTAAGCAATGTGATTTTTCCCATTGCTACAAAAGTACTAATATTTTTTTAAAACAAAGATACTTTATTACTTAGCATGGCCTAGCAACTAGTTAGAGATGACTGAAAAATTTACATGAAAAAGAGCTGTAATACTTTTTATGATCAAAATGTTTTTAGAACATTTGAGATCGTTGAAACCTATGGATTTTTTAATTAGCTGAGCCACCTCCCCATTTTCTTTTGCTTTTCTTTTAACAGAGGCTGTGAAGCAACCTGTTAAATCACTTTCACTTAAATGTATGACCCATTTCTTCAGTGTGCAGTGGCAGGTTCTGAGAGAACATCTGCCTTGTGTGACTGTTTCCTCTGGATCTTCAGGGAATGTAGCATCATGGACTTCCTAGAAACTAATTTTACAGAAATTGGAGGATCATTTTGCTGTGTTTCTTTAGTCTTGGGATACTTTTTAAAATTGAATTTATTTATTTTTTTTAATTGACAGAACTACAGCAGGATACCCATTTTATTACTCTAGGTGGTGGTATCTGTAAAATAGTATCCTTCAACTGTTACTTTTAAGTAACAAATTGAAGCTTAACTTACTGGACAAGTCCACAACCACTTTCTTTAGGGGACAGAGTGGGCATCATGGGTACAGTAACATCTGAGTTCCAGGGATGGATGATTCAGACTGCACTCTGTGCTGCCAGACCCCTACACCCACCACAGGGAGAAGTGGATGGGGTGCCAGGCCACCTGCACTGGCACAGCCAGGACAGCACTTCCTCGTGAACCTTTGATGGATCCTGGCTAGGGAAAGGAGGAGGGAATAGTGTGTCTGTGCAGGTGGATGTGCTGGTTGACTCCAGGAAGTTTAACTCAGCATGGTTGTAAATTCCTCAAAATACTTATTTATATTGTGATCCCACCAGATTTAATTCTTTTGGAAAACCTTCATTATTCATATCTCCCAGTTTTCTTTGTTTTTCGTCACTTATATTAGAAAAGGGCATTAACACACAGTAATACATGGCACAGTTCCTGTGCTTTTCCTCTGCATCCATTGATTACCCCAGTTGGTTCACATTATGTTACTACATTTGTTTGATGCTGCTTTTCGGAAGCCAGAAATAAAATGACTAGTTTTGATGAAATATTAATGTACACACTCACACTTTATTGTGGAAACCTGCCTTCAATTGCTCAGTTAGGTAGTGGTGCAGTTGCTTACAGCACTAACTGAATTGCTCTTCATCCAAATTATCTTTAGAAAACATACACCAGATGCCAAGGGAAATAGTCTCTGGAAGCAATGTTTTTGAGTGCTATCTAAGCGGAGGAGACACTGGTGAGATTCCAAAATATGGGCTTTTGCTTTCGTGTACCTTTCTTTTCTTCCTAATGCCAGGCCAGAACTTCTAAAGACAGATATAGCTGCTATCCAGGCATCAGCTGCTTGGTCAAATGTAAAGACATTCTGATGTGCAAAAGCACCTGTAAACACTGAATGTGTGACTTTTATGTTGATAAAATGGTGCTTTAAGAATTAGCCCTTGTGAGAGCTTTTTGGAGCTTTATCTTGATGTCAGTAAATACAGGGCCTGGTAGTTCAGTCGGAGGTCATAATGCATGAAGTGTGCTAATAATAAGGCCATTAATAATAATATCCTATGATAGTATGATAATAAGCCTTTGTTATCCTAGTGTAGCTATCTACTTTGTGTTTGGGACTATAGTAACTATCCATGAAATTAAGCCTTTTTCAATCTAGTCCTTTTCTATCAAAGATGTGTGATTTATTTTAAATTGTAAGGCTTCGGTTTAAGCTAATTAGGCTATTTGACCCCATTCTTCCTCCTGCTGGAATTAATAATTTCCTGAACAAGGGCCACAGACACACAGAGGCATAGAGGAACAGACATTTGGAAGAATATTACCTGCACTGAAGCACTATAATGCAAAACAGAATCAGGCAATTCATCCAGCAAATGGATTCTGTGCTGGCACTTCATAGCTTTGCTTCACAAGTCACAGATTTCCTGTAGCCCCTTGTGTTTTTAATTTTTTAAGACATCTTACTTCATTTCTTCCTAGTACAAAGCATTGTTTAAAGATGTGCAGATACCATGATTATCATTTGGCCAGCTGTTTCAGCTGCTCTTCATTTCTCTTAAGTAAAAATGTGATAGTTTAGACACTACAGTGGAGGAATGTTAATAAATTAGCAGCAATCAGTTTGGAGCTCTGCATGCGACACCATTGGAAAAGGTGGGTCAGCTAAAGGTTTTCTCTTTTGAACTTCTGTCCTACTCCATTTTTCCCGCTACTGAATGGGCAGATGAGAAGTGATATTCAGATTATGTCAAATAATTATGCACTAATTGATCTACAAGAAGATTAGATGATGCATTGCACCATCAAACAAGGCACTTCAAATTCTTTTACCCTTTATTCTTTAAATTATTAGGTTTGGGGTTTTTTTGAAATTAAGGGTTATCAGTAGCAATGTGCTTACAGAGCACATCTGAACAGTTGACTTGTCTTGAATCACTTGTGGTCTGCTGTTTGTCATCCATGGACCTGCACGAGTCAAATGGCATTATCTGTACTTGACCGGATGATGAGGATACTTGGAGGGAAGCTGGATGACAGCATGTTCCCTACTGACAGATGCTCACTTAGCCTGCTTCTCATTCAGACAAACTCTTCCACTTCCAAAGAAATTGTTTGAAACAGCACAGAAAACTATTTTCTAGGATCAATAGTTAGCAGCAAATGAGTGTTAACATATTCAGACAATATTTGCCCAACTCTTCTTTTCTAGACTTGAACTCCCTAATACTGAAGTCAAAATATCTCTTTTTAGCAGGAAGGTTATCTCTTTTCTCTCTAGTTTTAACAGAAGTATTACTTAAAAATAGAATTACATGGAGGCATTAACCTGAAATGGTGCCTAGTGCTTTCTAAAGGCTGTGTGAAAGATAAAAAGGGAACTCGTGGTGTACCTGTGACTACAAATGCACTGTAGAATTGTGTATCAGTTATGAGGGAGAAATTGGAATCTGAGAGTCAAAAACCACTGGACAGAATAGCCATTCTTTTATGACAGGTGAAAAAAATACATCACTTTCTTCCAACGCTGAATAAGCAGATTTCTGTAATCAAAGAAAACTAATAATTCTCCTGCAGTTGTGCCTTATCTATTTTGCTCTTTATTGGTAGGAGAGGTCATAAACAGGGAATGTAATGCAGTTTTTAAGTTCATATGCAAAGAAACAGAACACCTACGATGACAGATCATGTATATTTTAAAAGAGTTCTCTTTAGTCAATGCAATTCTTGTATTAGACTACTCCTTCTACTCCTCTGATTTTTCAGGAAAATAGCATTCCTAATATTTGAAAAAAATAGTAAGTTGCCCTGTTTTTGTCTACACTCACCTGTGCATGCAGTCTCACTTAACTAGAAAGAATTCACTATGCAAGGCCAAAAGGTGAAGTCAGTTGCCAGTTACATTTTAGGAATGTCTAGAACAGACATGCTTTGATCAGTATCAGTGGAAAGAACAAGGTCAGCATCCCCCTTAAGAACTGACATTCTGGAGAAGGCCTGGAAGGCACTGGAAAGATGACAAAACTCATTCTCTTTCAAATAAATGATGCCAGTGTCAACTCTAGGTTCTGCTGGATATTAAACATTTGTAGAAGATGGAGAAGGGTTGCTCCTGAAGCCTTCCACTCTCTATCTGTTGCTTGTCTTGTGCTATGAAAAGCTTTTATGCACGTAGGAAGTTTGGGGATTATGCTCAGTCTGTGGTCATTCAGCTGCATGCTCAGGGCTGGTATTGGTATGAGTCAGAACAAAACCAAGTTGCCCATGATTAAATTTTCTCTACTCCCTAATAATCTCTGTTTATATTTTTTTGAGTAGTAATTCTGATTTGTAAAAGTACTATCTAATACCTTCTTAGTAACAGCCTTTTCACTGAGCCCTTAAGATGATGGATATTAAAACCCCTAATTAAAACCAGGTAACGTACGAAAGATTTCTATAGTGCAGGCCTTTCTCCCAGAGCTCGATTAAACCAAGGAACTCATATATCTGTTTACAAAACTATTCTCATCAGGGCAGGGACCTTGCAGCATTGACTTAGGTCCATCCTTCTCACAGTAGCTTTTTCTTGGAAATAAAGAGAACAAGATAGGCTAGGAGAGAAAATGGGGTATTTCAGAAACATTGGCCTATTACATTTAGCTAGGAATGCAGTCTTTCCCTATTCTATGGCTCTGATGCTATCAGTCAGGATAATGGTGAACCACAGAATAATATGTTCATTTACATATAAATCTGTATAAAATACTTCTGTGCATACATAATCTCTCTATATATGTTTAGTTGCATGCAGTTTTACATGAATAAATATAGTATAAAATAACAGGGATAAGTGATTTTCTGCAGATCTTTATTTTTTTTCCTTTCTTTTTTCCTGTCTCTCTTGGAATTTACAAATAGAAGTAGGAATATGAGAAGAGACTGATTTTTTTTAAAATTTAAACCTTAAATTAAGAGGAAACTAAGACTATATAGTGAAAATTGTGGTTTTACCTTGATTCCACTGCAGGTTAAAATCCATGTTTGTATGAATCTGTCTTCCCTTTCCCAAATACCCTGGATTCCACTGGTGTATTTGCATACCCCACTTGTCAGTCCAAGTGTAGATGGCAGTGAGACCAGGCCACTGGGAGATCCTTGCTCTATAGCAGTGTAGCTCCCTGTTGTTTCTTGCTGCTGAAAGATGGGAAGAAAATGATCAGTGGGTGTATAAAATATTGTTAGTACAACTTTGTCTTGCTTTTATATGCATAAAACGTTGAACCTTCACTGGGTGGGAGTTAGACACCACTAGAGAAAGTGTCAAGCTCCCACAGTGGAAGCCAGACTGGCTTGCACCCTTGTTAAAGATCTCTTGAACTGTAGCCACTGTCATATTTCATGTAGTGTAAACTGTCT